TTCAATATGTATTTTATATTCGTCCACCAAACACACTGCATTAATGAATTGGATGAGAAAAAATTCCTTCTTACCTAAATTACGCTTTAATTGAGTTAAATTGACGATTTCTTATATTTTTTTCTTCAATTGGGGGGAATTTCCCTACTTTCCGCACGGTGGATTTTTTTCAAATTTTAATATGTATTTTATATTTGTCCACCAAAAACACTGCATTAATGAATTGGATGAGAAAAAACTCCTTCTTACCTAAATTACGCTTTAACTGAGTCAAATTGACGATTTCTTATATTGTTTTCTTCAATTGAGGGGAATTTCCCTACTTTCCGCACCGTGGATTTTTTTTAAATTTTAATATGTATTTTATATTTGTCCACTAAATAAACTGTATTAATGAATTGGATGAGAAAATATTCTTTCTTGCATAAATTATTTTTTAACTGAGTTGGATAGACGATTTATAAAATGTTTTCATTAAATTGAGGGGAATTTCCCTACTTTCCGCACGGTGGATTTTTTTTAAATTTCAATATGTATTTTATATTTGTCCACCAAATACACCGTATTAATGAATTGGATGAGAAAATATTCTTTCTTGAATAAATTACGCTTTAACTGAGTTAAATAGACGATTTCTCAAATATTTTCATCAAATTGGGGGGAACTTCCCTACTTTCCGCACAGTGGATTTTTTTAAAATTTTAAGATGTATTTTATATTCGTCCACCAAATACACTGTATTAATAAATTGGATGAGAAAAAATTATTTTTTGCATAAATGGGTTATTCCCTGCGCTCCCAAAAGCGTACAATCTAGATTCTAAATCTGAACCTATCCTGGTACACCTTTTATATTCAGGTTGTGCGTCATCTTTGTGTCCATATTTCGAGAGTACCGAATTTCCCTACTTTCCGCATGGTGGATTTTTTTTTAACTTTTAATATGTATTTTATATTTGTCCACCAAACACACTGCATTAATGAATTGGATGAGAAAAAATTCCTTCTTACCTAAATTACGCTTTAACTGAGTGAATTGACGATTTCTTATATATATTTTTTAATTGAGGGGGAATTCTCTACTTTCCGTACGGTGGATTTTTTTTAAAATTTAATATGTATTTTATATTTGTCCACCAAACACACTGCATTAATGAATTGGATGAGAAAAAATTCCTTCTTACCTAAATTAAGCTTTAATTGAGTTAAATTGACGATTTCTTATATTTTTTTCTTCAATTGGGGGGAATTTCCCTACTTTCCGCACGGTGGATTTTTTTTAAATTTTAATATGTATTTTATATTTGTCCACCAAAAACACTGCATTAATGAATTGGATGAGAAAAAATTCCTTCTTACCTAAATTACGCTTTAACTGAGTCAAATTGACAATTTCTTATATTTTTTTCTTCAATTGAGGGGAATTTCCCTACTTTTCGCATGGTGGATTTTTTTTAAATTTTAATATATATTTTATATTTGTCCACCAAATACACCGTATTAATGAATTGGATGAGAAAATATTCTTTCTTGGATAAATTACGCTTTGACTGAGTTAAATAGACGATTTTTCAAATATTTTCATTAAATTGGGGGGAATTTCCCTACTTTCCGCACGGTGGATTTTTTTAAAATTTTAATATTTATTTTATATTCGTCCACCAAATACACTGTATTAATGAATTGGATGAGAAAATATTCTTTCCTGCATAAATTATTTTTTAACTGAGTTGGATAGACGATTTCTTAAATATTTCCATTAAATTGGGGGGAATTTCCCTACTTTCCGCACGGTGGACTTTTTTAAATTTTAATATGTATTTTATATCTGTCCACCAAATACATTGTATTAATGAATTGGATGAGAAAATATTCTTTCTTGCATAAATTATGCTTTAACTGAGTTGGATAGACGGTTTCTTAAATATTTTCATTAAATTGAGGGGAATTTCCCTACTTTCCGCACGGTGGATTTTTTTTGAAATTTTGATATCTATTTTATATTTGTCCAACAAACACATTGCATTAATGAATTGGATGAGAAAAAATTCCTTCTTACCTAAATTACGCTTTAACTGAGTTAAATTGGAGATTTCCTATATTTTTTTCTTAAACTGGGGGGAATTTTTCTACTTTCCGCACGGTGGATTTTTTTTTAAATTTTGATATGTAATTTATATTTGTCCACCAAATACACTGTATTAATGAATTGGATGAGAAAATATTATTTCCTGCATAAATTACGCTTTAACTGAGTTATATTGACAATTTCTTAAAATTTTTCCTTTAATTGGGGGTATCTCCCATTTTTCCGCATAGTGGAATTGTTTTAAAATTTAATATATGTTCTATATATCTTCATCAAATTCACTGTATTAATGAATTGGATGAGAAAAAATTATTTCTTGCATAAATTACGCTTCAACTCAGTTAAATTTTAGATTTTGTCGATAAATGAGCTTCTGAGCAATAATTCAGTTTATCGAGGAAAAAATGTGTTGTTTCAATCATTTTTGTTTTTTATTATGTTTCAGGTCTGTCGTCAGTTTCTAAAAGGGAGAATCGCCTAATTTTTTGCATCCATGTAGCCGCAATTAAGTGAATTCGCGACAACTGTCGTGGAACATGGCGGGTTCAAATTTGGAAAAATTGGTAACTGTCCGCTGTAAGTGGCCGCTAGCTTTACCTAGGTGGCTAACAGTACGGTGAATAGATTCTTTTCACATATAAGCTAAGCTAATAAGCTAATTAAAGTGGTTTAGAAAGGCTACTACTACCCAGCTGAAATAATTCTGTGAATTTGTGGAAATTGACTACAAGAAAGTTCAACAACACGGAAATACGGTACACGATTTCTGATAAAAAGATTTTTTGATAGTAAAGGTGAAAAAATTTATGTACGGTTTGTTCATGGCTTGTTCAACAAAACTATTCTAACTATGGAAAAAACAAAACAAAAACTGATATTTTGTTGGAAATTAATAAATTGAAAGCTAATATGAGAGAAAGACGAGATAACAACTTCATTCCACATGGAGCAAAAAATTGCTCAAAGCTCTAAGAGAAAAATAGAGAATGTCAAGAAGATTTGATTAGAAAAGAATTTTCCAGATTTTACAGTTTTATGATTGCTGCTTGTCATATATTGAATTATGGGAAAACAGTTTTGGAGATGGTGAGCAGTTTATTTGGTTAGCAAAAAGTATTTTCGATTGGTCTGACATGGAAGCAGCTGCAGAAAAAATCAATAAAATGGTTGCACATGCAGTAGTTAATATTGATGATCTGTTTGATGAAGTGGTCCTAACTAAAACTTTTTGGTTGCCAAGATCTGCTGAAGCTGAATGGAAAAAAAAGATTGTGATGAAAAATAGGTCAAGGTTTTCCGTCATTTTAAAAATCAAAATATATCTGTGGACTGTGGCTAATCTTAGAAAAGTAATGGAATATATATATTTTGTCTACCAGGCACTTTGGCTTTTGCTGAAAGAGCTTTCAGGTCAGATGAAAGGAGTACGGTGAAGAAGTCAACAGTAGAGGGATTATTGATTTGCAAACTCAATATTGGCTTTAGCTGTAGCGAGTTTTACACAAAAATAAGCAATAATAAACAGTTTCTGAAGAAAGTTCATTCAAGTGAAAAATACGAAAGGTCAAACACAAAAGCCAATGGTTTCTGAATGCATATCCGTATGTAAAAATTTGCCAAGCTCAGGCCTTCGGCCTTTCGTCGAGTTATTTCATTCATAGTTTTGAGTTTGTCCCGGATTATGCCCACGAAATTATGGTAAGTCTACCTATACTAGAACCCAATGTGCCACACCGAAGAGCCGAACTAATGAACTAATTCAGTACTTGAATACATATATAAATTTTATTTTGTTTTTCGTTGAACATGACCACTTTTAGAATAGTAGTTTACTGCGTATTCAACAACAACACTTATGATGTAGCCTATTTGGAAGAGAAAACTCTTTAATTTCATTTCGCATTGCAGCATTAGGATTGAAGGTTTGAAAACTGATTCCAGTCTTTCTTGTATAAAAGCTATTAGGACCAAACAAAACAAAGAACATCAACTTATCAATTCCTAATGTTTAACATGCGATATGCTGTAGGCTATATTTTATTACAATGCTGTTCTTTTGGGTGTGATGTGGTTGGTGCCGGTACAGTGTGGTTGGTTTTCGGTTGGATTCTGGTCATGAGTGTCTGTTGGAGTGCCTCTGGTTTCCGGTGGGTTATCGGGGATGTTTGTTTGTGGTTTTGCGACTGCGGGATGGGGATTTGTTGGAATTTTTATGCTAGACAGTAAGCTGATATTATTGATTCAGTACAGTGCCATTGCAGTTATTTTAGCGTTGTGTCAGGGAATTAGCTATCATCAGTACTGTTCTAAGTGTTTTTATTGTGTACCGGTAGCCTATATTCTGTCTCCTTGCATTTTGCTGCCTGGTACTTGTCACTTTATTGTATGCTTGTTGTATTGTTTGGAGTTGGTGTGGCTCATCGTGCTAAGCGTTAGGAATACGCTCGCAACTGCACCTCTAATTACTGAGTGGGTTCGCAGGTTCGAATCCCATGCAGGATGGTTATGTGCGAGAGGATTGCTGGACTCCTTGCCGCCTGTGCTGTAGGGTGGTTCACGTAACCGCTGGTCGGTTACGGCTTCCTCCACATTCAAGTCCATGCTTCCGAAAAAACAAATAACTAACTAATCCCATACCCGACATGGAATGGTAACCGGACGAGAGGCCACGGTTCACCATATGGTTAAGCCGTCTTATCGCTTTTCCTCTCCCCCGGGATAAATATGTAAATCCTTATCCTTTATTACAAATTTCACTTCATCCCTCTCAATCTGTCATCTATGTAATGTCCAGAGACAATGCATAACAACATTTCTCCCCCTTTTTATTTTTTTCTCAAAATATGTAATATATAAATATCTAATCTATATGGATTGATTTGAACTATACTAATAACTATATACTATCATGCTAAGGATATTGTTGCAATTGCATCATGGGAATTATTCAAATATCGGAATTAAACCTTATACCATGAATTATGAACTATTGGCTGTATAATTTGTATATATCAATCAAAATCGATATGCTGGAAATAAATTCAATAACATTACGGAATGAATCGGACTTCACTGCTTCATGAATTTTTTTATTTTATTTTTGATTTATAAAAAAAAAAGAAAAAGAAAATCATTTATGTTCTTTCATATGTTGAATTTCTTAAAACTAACATGGACAAAAATGGAAAATTAGATGTTAGGGATAACTAACATCAGTCAGAACATGCACTTGCGATGATGCATCAACTGAACAACATGAGGTTGCAGAAAGATCGGTGTAAGATCAATGCCAAAAGTAAATAAATTCCTGTACATAAAAATATACTCACTGCAAGTTTTGATTACTTTAGAGGAATGTTCTTTCATTGGACTGTTGAATCTAAATTCGTATATGTAGAATTACCTGATATGAATGCAGATTGTGTTGAAACATGTGGTATTTTCGCCAACATGCAGACATGAATATTTTCTTTTTAAGTTTTATTTTAGTACAATTTTAACTACCGTCTACCGGTAAATACTGATTTACATATTTTTTCTAACTGAACGTTAGTCATCTTTTCTGTCGCTATTTCTTCGTAACTATTTAACATTTAAATCATTATTCGAATCAAATACCTACTAAACAAATTATAAAGTTTTGTGATTCCATTTCTTGAGTTATATGAATTGGTGTTACTGATTAAAACTATCGGTAATATAATATCAAGCCATTATATGTAGCGCAGATTGTACAAAACTTACAAATCTGCTGAGTTAATAAGCGGCTGCAACTGATGAGTGTAGAAGAACACATTGAACAACCCTAGATTATATGATTTGCTGCTAACATGTATGTTAACAGATGATTGGCTGCAGTATTCAATATTTGTCAAGTTACCAATTACCATGTCAATGAAATTTTTTTTTTTTATAGCTATCATCAAATGACCTATGTATGTTGCTCATATAATGTTCTTGAATGAATCATGATTACACCAGGAATATACATACTGAATGTGTTTTAGTTCACAATGAAGTTTTCTAGGCAAACTTCGAACAACTGATGTATGTTGCGCATGTGATATGGTTAAATGACTCATGATTGGCGACGTCTCAAATTTATATGAATGAAATTGACATTATGCTGAAAAAACCTTGTCGTTCAACAAGGCTGGTCACTTCTCATTTGATAAAATATGATTTTATAGAACCCCGAACAATTGATGTATGTTGCTCATGTGATATGGTTAAATGATTCATAGTTGGCGACGTTTCAAATTTAGATGAATAAAATTGACTTTTTGCTGAAAAAACCTTGTAGTTCAACAAGGCTGGTCAGTGGTCACTTCTCATTTGAGATAAAATATGGTTCTATAGAACCCCGAACAATTAATGTTTGTTGCTCATGTGATGCAATTAGAAAATTATGCCAGTTTGCATTCATTTTATGGCAATAGTTTTTTTGACAGTCTTTGTTTAATAATTACTGATGGAAAATTTTAGGGATCAGAATTTTTTTGGAAATCACCAACTACAATTTTTTACAAAACTGATTCTTTCGTTTTGATTGTATTAACTCATTCTAATTGCTGGAGGCTGCTAACCAACATCAGGACCCAATAACCTATTTGAAACATTTCAATCTACTAAAATCATCTGTTTATTTTTTAGACTTTAGTTCAATCATAATGAATACTACATTATAATTTGTATATTGATATACCGGTATTTATTATATTTCACAATCAACTCTTCTGTGTGATTAATATCGTGAGACAGTAGTACCTATGTAGTCGATTGGCTCGATACTCAAACAATTCGATAGTTAAGCAAAAGTTCCAGTCAAGAATGTTGCAGTACTTGAACGGAAATTCGGTGTTTGAATACTCGAGCAAGCCATTAAGTCAGATGACGTCACCCGAACCGTGCATTTTGGCTGCCACTTGACAACTCAACAACAGAGCGATGCTCGAATACATGCACACAAAGGCCAAAACAGAGTAGTACGGGTATGCAATCTGTCATGGTAGACTATCGGTACGGCAGTTTTTGCGACTAATGCGAAAGTGGAACCACCACAAGTTACGTAATATTTGCTGACATCATCGCACACAAAAAACGAAGCCCACAGAAATTTGCTCAAATGTACAGTAACTGATACGAAATATTTTTATCTTTATTCCGATATGTAGTCTACACATTTGAATAACTATTTTCGGTATTCAAACACCGATTCTGTGCGAATTATATTAGACTACCGAGGTCTTAGTTGTCTTTGGTTGATATTTCAATCATGAAATCGTTTTCATGTGTCATTATTAAAAACAGTTATTCATTGAATATATTATGGTACCCAAGTTTGGGAATGGAGTTTATATGACTGGTTTATTCTGGGAATTAAATATTTATAATCTGTAATCCATATATTTATAACGGCCTTACAGCTCTTATTAATAACTATATTAATAAAATACCTCAGTAGTCACTACTCAGTACAATGTCAATTTTACTTCTCATTTTTTTTTTTTTGATCAAATTCATTATAGATATAATTTGATTGTGTTGGATGTTTTGAATCATAGTATGCATCATTTGTGCTTAAATGCAACATGTTTAATCAATCAATATATGGATTTTCAATCATTGATTAAAGAGTTCTCAACTGCGAAGTCAAACAAATCGAAATGTTTCAATATTAAGGATGGAAATAATAGGCCTACCAATCTTATTTCAGGTCAGATATTTTCAGGTTTCAAATTATGTAATCCTGCATTGCTAAATCTACATTATCGCATCCGATATTGAACTATATTGGGATTATTGTGTTAATTTTCATTCATGACAATTGACAGTATATATATACCAGGGGTGGGCACAATTTTTTAGTATAAGAGCCGCATGCTGCAAGTCAGAACTTTAAAAGAGCCGCAGAATTTGTGAATTCATTATTATTAAAATACAATGAACAGAAAAGAAATTCACACAAGAGTCTAATAACGAAGCAGCTATGCTCAAATATATGCACAATTTGAGCTCAATTAATTTGTGTTTCCTTATAGCTGATTTACGAGGGTAGTCTCGTAAGAAGTTTTCATGATTCTCGTTTCATGGTGCCGTTTAACATTGCTGACTTTATTCTGACTTAGTAGCTTATGGCAGATTGAGCACAAAGGTTTATTCTCCTGACTGGTAAATGCGTGTTCTTCTTCCCATTCTGACTCTGTTTTTATCTTTGTACGTTCGTTTCTTAATTGCGCTTCGACTCTACTTCTGTAAAAATGCTTGACCAAGTGGAGAGCGATGCCTACACGTGAAAAAGTTGCACGATTTGCTGGTGCACAAGTTTTCTAGGTTTTCGTTCCCTTCAATAAGGAATTCAATGAACTGAGTTTTGACTCCACAGACAGAGCATAGTTTGGCGGTGAAATGTAAATTAAAAGTTTAATTCAGATTCATGAATTTACGGAATTCAGGCAAAATACATATAGTTTTGTAGTATAGCCTAGGGCTTTTCTTCCCAAACTTTTGAGCTCGCGGCCTTTTTCAATATATTAAAATTTTTCGTGGCCCCTGTTCACAGTAATAATGCTAAACAGTTCGAAATATGCATTTAAATGACACAGTTAATTCTCAACTTTTAGTAGGCCTACTCAATAACAAAAATAACACATTCTTTACACATCCCATATGCTGATTGACTAGCAATATAACAAAATTATTAAAAATTACTGGTTTCTTAATTAATAAAGAATTGCCAATTGTGGTAAAATCGAAAGAACTGGCTTAAAAATATATCACAGAATGATATTTATTTTTCATTAACTAAAACCTTAAATCAGCAAAAGAAATGAATGTAAATTGTTGATTGTGATCCAATCAGAGGTAGGGCGTATTATCTCCTCTCTTTTCTAAGAAGGCAAGAATCGAATTCAACTATGTCGTCGAAAAGCAGTTACATATTGTTTAACTTTTCTTTTTAATAATACACTCCTAATAATCTGTTAAAATTTGGTCGCTTAAAAGAAAATAACGTGTTTCATGCATATTATACAAGAGGTTCCCAAACTTTTCAAACACAAGATGTAATCACTGGTATCAGTAATACGATTGTGGGTCATGAATCGACTTGTTTTTTCTCTGACTTGTGACAATTTATGGGTATTTATTAATAATTACGACTTTAAATAATTTACAATTTTTCAACATAGTGGAAATGAATGTGTAAATTAGAAGCCTTTAGGCCAGGGGTCGGCACATAATCCGGCCCGCGACGCTTCACTGAATTATAGTAACAAAACAACTGTTTTGGCGATTATATTTTTCACGTTACACAATTCACTGTGAGACGCGTGTAGACTAAATTATATTATAATCTTACAAGTATAAAATTCACAATTACTCGTTTAATGAGCCTATAGTTTAATTGTAATTAGACAAATGGCAACAAAACACAGAAAAGTTGATGCTAAGTACAAAGAGTTCAATGGCGCAGAAAATGCAATGCAACGAGGAAATAAATCTATATCCTATTAGAGAGATGTTTCACTGCTTGATTTTTATTATAAAAAGTATAATCTGTTCGGTTTTTAACTTTTTAAAAATATGTGCGGCCCACCAATGACTTGCAACCCTTATTTTGGCCCGCGAGCGACAAAAGGTTGGCGACCCCTGCTTTAGGCAATGTCCACCTCACAACCGCGCAAAGATGTTGCAACAATATGCGACACACGGTTGCATGAAAGATAAACAATCAAAGCGCCAATTCTATTTCATTGTCAGTACAATATGTGACAAAGCGCAAAAATTTATTTGAAGATTCCCATAAAAACGAAACATCGTGTTTATGGCGAAAAGTGGCTATCATTTGGAATTATTTCGAAAATCAGTCGTAAAGAATTCGAATACTTTGACCTATTCGAATACATTCGAATATTCGGTTAATTTTGGACAACCCTTGTCTACTTCATGTCCAAAAGGTGATTGAGTCGGAACTGCAGCACTATTATTTTTTCTAATCAAAATATGAATACTGTTTTGGACATATATAAACTGAAATTAATTAACATGTGTTTTGACATGTTTACTCTGATCGAGCCTCTTTTCAAGAAACCACTGATACATACATGGTGGATGCTGCAGAGTTACGGTACTTAATTTAGAAGGACCAGGATCTTCCTAATTTGGCATTACCCATCTATTTTACTTGCATCCTTGGATGACGTGCTTGCATGAGGCCTGAACCAAGACCAGACATTATTAAGTATGTGTCGGCAACACCGCTTTTACATGTTACTTAGACTAGCGCCACTATTTATAACAATTCATTGTTGTGTTGTAGAGCTAAGATCTGGAGCCCGAGCCGTAGTCGGGTGGGGCCTGAAATATCAAGCATTGCGTTCGGGTCGGGTCGGGTCAGGCCTATATTGTTAATCATTACGTTCGGGCCGGGCCTAAAATGTCAAACATTGCGCTCGGGTTGGGTCGGGTCGGGCCTGAAAAGTCAATAATTGCGTTCGGGTCGGGTCGGGCCTGATTTGTCAATCATTAGGTTCGGGTCGGACCTGAAATGTCAATCATTGCGTTCGGGTCGGGTCGGGCCTGATTTGTCAATCATTACGTTCGGGTCGGGCCTGAAATGACAATCATTACGTTCGGGTCGGGCTTATATATCGCTGGATTTTTTCTAAGTAAATATATGTTTATTAGAAACTATTTTTCAGAGTGGTTCCGATTTCATAAATATTAAATTTCGAAATTTAAAGTTTCGTAGTTCTTTGGATGATGATGCTTATTCATTGCTTTTTAACGGCATACCTCGTTTAATTTAATGTGCCACACAAGTGGAGTGCAGCGGGACATTTGACACGTTTTGAATGCCTCTTGATGATAATATGTGTGTTGCTAGGGAATTTCTTAGTTTGCCCAGTAAAACCTTTAGCTACCCTCTATCCATTAGCCCCGCATTGTCAAATGAATGTGCAGATTATAGAGCTCACAAAAGAAGAAATATGTCCCAGCATTCCCCTATACTGTACTAACCTCTTGCAATGACAATTCGAAGAACTCCTAAATAAAATATGAAATTTCGGGCCTGCGAATCCAGTTAATTTGTCGGGCCTGCAAAGCCAGTTAGTTAGTCGGGTCGGGCCTGCAAATCCATTTAATTAGTCGGGCTCGGGTCGGGCCTGCAAATTCAGTTAATTAGTCGGGCTAGGGTCGGGTCGGGTTTTATTACCCACAGGCCCGGGTCGGGTCGGGCCTGCAAATCCAGTTAATTAGTCGGGCTCGGGTCGGGTTTTACTACCCACGGACCAGGGTCGGGTTGGGCCTGCAAATCCAGTTAATTAGTCGGGCTCGGGTCGGGTCGGGTTTTAATACCCACGGGCCCGGGTCAGGTCGGGCCTGCAAATCCAGATAATTAGTCGAGCCGGGTTTAATACCCACGGGCAGGAGTCGGGTCGGGCTGGAATTTTTTAGCCCGATCTTACCTCTATTGTGTTGTACAATATCCCATATTTCCTTACTGCTGGCAAAGATAAGTTTGTCTAATAATTCAGTGGGGAATGGTGGAAGTATTTATGTTGCTAGTGAGAATAATTTAATAAGCAAGATTCTGATTTTCTAAAACAAAAACTTAAACTAATTTTTCCGCCAATTAGTGTATCCCAGTGATTATTCTGGCAATTACACAGTGCACACCACACAAGCAGAAATTTATAAGACAAAATGATAGAGCATCGCCATTCGGGCATTACGAATTACGCTTTTATTGTGTAAGAAACAGGTATGAAGTGCATGTTTAATTAATGTCAACACAATATTTCAATAATACTAATTCGAATTTTTCAGATCAAGCTATTATGGAATTACTGAAATTACAAGCATCGATAAGTGAGATAAAGATAGAAGTTGCTGCAACACAAATGCTTCTGACCAAACTTGTTCAATCGTCTAAAAATCACAAAATTTTAACAGCAGATGAAGTAAGAGACTACACTTGTTTCTTATAATGTTATTCTTATGTTAAAATGTAAACCTGAGCAATTTTTCATCAAGACTTGAACTCAAACCCCAAAAAAATATTTTACTGGTCCATTGACAACTGCTTTTCATTATATTACATTGGAGAATTATTACCAAATTACAGTTGATTTTACTACAAGTTATTGTCCGAACCATAATACTTTATTTCAAACTACTCCAACCTGGAGTATGCTGCAATGTATGATTAATGAGGCCATGAATGAAACAAAAATTGCCTTTAATAACATTTGCTGCTTAAATGTCCAATAACATCATTTTTAGTTTATTATTAGGATTACAAATTACCGTAGTTTTTTTTTAATTACAAAGTTTTTTATTTTCTCATTTTAAATATTTTTTACCATTTAGGAAAACCTATCTTCTGTCATTGCTGCTTTACAGAAAGTTGGTTCAACATTAAGCGTTGATGATTTATCACGATATAGAGACAAATTTTTGGTAAAATTTTATCACTTACCCTCTCTAAAAATACTATTTACATAAAATTTTGGTATTGTATAAAAGTTTTTATGCGGTCCATAACTGTTTTACCCAATTTAAACATCATTCAAATTCCAATTCACATAAGAAGCAAGTTCATTTACAGGAAATCAATAAGTCGATAATTACTCATTAACGAGCAGAAAAAATAGTTCAATATTACAATATATTCGAATTACATTTTTTTTGCTTTTCGAATATCTGATAACATGTGATAGGCACCAGCACCACTTTACTGGGCACGACACGATCGCACTCTTGGATGGCATGTAACGCAAGGTATTGTTTATTATCAAGTTCATAAATGCAATTTGGTTGTATATGCATATGACACATCAGTTTGAATTCCAATAAGCAACAGGTTTTGGACATGGCCTAATTAAGTTCTTTTTACAGCATTGTTTATCTCTCAACATTATTTTGAAGATGAATGAAACTAACATACTACTATTAAAAGATTATTTGATTGTGTAAGTTTTAACACTTTCTAGATGATTATAATTCTTATAATCACGAGTAGTATCAATGCATTTTGTTTGAACTTCTTGTTTACCGTTTCTCATATATCAGTGACTGATATTATACTCATGCCATTCAATCTTCGAATGATATATTTACAGGAATGTTGGCAATAAAATCATCATAAAAGAACTTATCCGGGGATTACAGCATATTATTGAAAATCCAAGATTTATTTCTGTAAAGATTGCTGCCGGTATGGATTTGCCTGTGCTCACATAATATTGTTACATCCTAACAAATTATCAAAAGTACATTTGAATACTTAATTAAGGGTGACTTGTTATAATTATTTTAATTTTAATAAATGTCAATTAGTAATTTAAATAACAAGTGGCAATCAATCGAAAAAGGCCAACACTATTTCATTTCTCTGATTTCAAAATGGCCCTTGTGCTCTTGCGCCACTCTGGATTATATTTATTGGTTGCTTGTATCAAACTTCTTTTGGATTGTGCATCCCAACTTTTGCATATACAGATTTCAGATTCAAATACTTTATACCAGGGGTGGGCAAATTACGGCCCTTGTAGTGTTTTATCGGGCCCACTTGTTCGTGCTGAAATTAGGCTATAGTTTTCATGCATAAAAATTATTGTTGAAGGGATCGGAGAAACAACAAATCGTCCGCAAATGTAAATATTGTAATTCCACACATACTATCAGCCCTGAGTATAAACATAAAACCATCTGAATAATTCCTGTGCAATAATTCAAAAACGCCAGCTCCTGACATATCAGCATTTTGGTCTGCATTTCGCGTGTTCGTGGATGTCCCAATACATTTTGTTTACTTTTGTCTAGTACAGGGGGGGGGGGGGGGGGATTGAGTTGAAATCGCTGGTAGTTACTTTAGCATGTCATGGGTATTTAAGACGTGAACATCAGTAATATATCGGTAAGCTGTATTACAGGGAATTATCCCTGTATTATGAGGACGTCTAGAAAAGGATTTCCTTGGAACTGTGCGTGAAGTGTGCAAAACTCCTTATTGTGTGGTCATCTGAAACGAGAGACTAACACAAACTAAAAATTTAATCCGCAAATCCAATTAGCGACTGAAAATGAGGAAGTGATTATTGTAAGAAAGGAGCGTAGTCATAAGACATATATATATATCACAAAATATAATGCAGATTGCAGAACATAAATTTCGATTTCAAAGCTCTATTTTTGACCTGGTAAATCCCAAAAATTTCGTTATTTTTCATCGGATCGGAAACTATAGCAAATCCCAGCGTTTCCCAAATATGTGTTTGTGCTGCGCCATATCGCCGCATTATTTCAAAGTTGCAATGCTTTTACTTTATCGTAATGAATTGTATTGTGGAATTTTATGACCGACCTTGGAATTTTGCAAATGGTGATTTCTTAAAAATAATTTTGAGTGGCTCAAATTAATCAAATGACCAAGATCGCTCCTTTTCTCAATATTTAATTAAATTAATTATATTATATATTAAATTGATATGGCAAGACATTTTTAATTCTCGTAATAGTCTTGAACTGAATATTTTGCGCGACAGAAAAACCATCAAGGGTGAAAAAGTCGGCAATTTCAACAAATGGGTAATAAACGACGACTGTTGGCATTGGAATTTCCATTTCCTATTTTGGATACAAAATAAAATCAATCAATCAAAAATCAATCAATCAAATAACACTTGCCTCCTAAATCCCAAGTTACAGTAATTTTGTTCGTAAACGACAGGAATGCGCATCATTTATTTTCTGTGATTTGAATAATCTATTTATCAAATACGGTCATCATGACCGCAATTGTTCAATTGTGCTATCTTTATTATTAACGTTATCCTAGCCCATTAGCCCAGCTGTTAAGCTTTTTTTTATCAACTTTCTTTGCGCGGCTGCCGTAATTTGCCAGCCACTGTAATAACGGCCCATTTATCATTGTGTCTAGGATTCTAGGTATTTGCAAATAACCGTTTCTGATCATACTGAATTTTGATCATCCGGCCCAGTAACCAAGTCTGTTATCCGCATCCGGCCCACTCAGGAAAGTAATTGCCCACCCCTGCTTTATACTATAATAAAGTTTTTAAATTTTATTTGGGAAAATTTGAATTGTTTTGAACTTTCCTGTAAGATTCAAACTTTGAAATTTAACAACACAGAATTAATATAGAAGGAAGTGCACATTCCATTGAACCTGACAAATAAACCTAATTGCATGATTATGTTTTTAGGTATTTTCACACAACTTATAAAATATGGCTATGGAAACTCCCCTTTAATTTCTAAAGCTCTTAAGAAGGTGAATTAGAATTTCATATTTTCATGCATGTTTAGTTCGTCTTATTATTGAATACTAACATTGCTCTTACCTGTTGCAGATGTCAGGATATATACTTTTTGCTGTCATGAAAGGTAAGTGAATAATTACTGCCATATTTGGGCTGGCACTCCTGTGGCCACACTGAATGATTGGCTCCCAATTTGCTTCATAATTGCAAACTCTTTGCCATCAACAAAATATTGCGGCGTTGTGCTTATTTCACAGATAGTATAATAATTGACCGGGTTCTTCTGAACTTATGGAAAAAAGTTTTCAGCCATCAATCTTGGTTGGCTGTGAACAGGGTTGTTCAAAACGAATCGAATATTCCAATGTATCCGAATACCTTTTCGGCTGATTTTCGAATAATTTTGAACAATAGCCACTTTTCGCCGTAAAAATGGTGTTCCGTTTTTGCGGGAATGTTTAACAAGTTTTTGCGCTTTATCATGTATTGTAATGATATGTAATGTCGCATATTATCGCGAGATCTTGCACAGTTCAATTTTGCGATTTTCAATGCCTAGAAAAGCGCTTTTAGACTGTAGCGGGACTCAACAAAACTTATGTTGTTTACGGTTTTATTTTCAGTATTTTATATTGCCACTTTTTCAATCAAAAATGTTCGCGGATTCTTTCTTTCATTTGTCTTTAGAACCTTGCCGCCGATGAACGTATGCTAACTCTCACGAATTTATAATTCCATGCGAGTACAAAAATAAAATAGTTATCATGTTTATCGTGGCACAAATTTGTGATTTAGAGAGAATAAACGCCAACATAAAGGCGTTCACGGTCTAAATAACACGCTGATGAAAACAATCGGCGATTTTAGCAGAAGGCAAATTCACATGTTATCGGCGGCATTTTCAGTTTTCAAAAAAATTCAAAAGGGGGGGGGGGGGGTCGACCCCGAAACTAGCCTCCCCCTGGCTGCGCCATGGAATCCCATACTATAATTGTAGCTCTTAGCTTTGCTTAGGATGATTCTCTTCTAATTTCTGAGTGAGTTCTTGCGACCCCATACAATATTATTCTTAACAAATCATGCTATCAACTTTTTACGTAGCCTATATATTAACAACATCACACTGGATAGTTTAGAAAAATCTATATAGTCAAAATGATCCAGATGAGGATATTTTTTTTTTCGTTTTGTAGGTTTGCTCAATAAGACATGGTCGTGAAGCAAAATAATGATTAAAGAGTCCCAAGCAAAAAGCAACTGCTCGCATGCTTTTTTGTGTGACAGAGTTATTAGTAAATATCTGTTGATGCAAGAATTGAAAACCTGTATGTTGACATTTCCCACAGTAGCATCCTAACAGATGGAAATATATGTAAATTCCCCTATTGAATCAATTTGTTGTATTTATTTCCCATTAACTATTTGACCTATTGTCCTGTGTTAATTTTGCAAAGGTAACTGAAGATACATTCTTACATAGGTCATCTGCAACATTTGATTTCTTTGCCATCTTCAAAAGAGATCTTGACTTATGAGACCTGTATATCATCATTGATAAAAGATAATCTACAGAATGATACAGATGCTATGATAAGATGTTTTACTCAAATGATATCTTTATGGGTTACAAATTTGCCTAATTTAAAAGGTAGGCTATGGATGGTTGCAGTGTTTTGAATGTTATAAATTTCTCTGCATAAGTTCTTGCACATCGCTGGTGACTATTTGAAATTAATTTGATAATTTTAAATAGTTTATTTCAAGAACAAATTTATTAAGTAATTTAACTAAAAATACCATGATCTCTTTCAACGAAATAATAAGTATAATTATGAGCTTTTGTTTCATCCCCATAGCATCTAAATCCAGTTATAGGAAACACTTATAGACTAAATTCTTATAGTCCAGCGGATAAGAGGTGAAATCATGCACTTTTGGATGCAAGCATGAAACTTGGCACACGTGTACAGTAGCATCCCCTGATCATCTTTGGATATGGTGCCATCCAAGAAAATATCCCGTTGCCATGGAAACGAGGCATCATCCGTATTGCTATTAAAGTGAAAGAAACATTACTTTAGGAAAGGATATTTTCAAGATAAGTAAACCGGTGTGTATTTAAGAAGTAAAGAATATGATCAGAAGTGCATTTTGACAATTGCCCTTGATAACATGCTACCTGGTTACCATGGAAACGAGGTATCGTTATCGACTAAACACGATTATTAGTCGCACAACCTGCACTCTGAACGGAACATAAATACTATGTTCATGTTGTGCGCCACCTTGGTGCAAAAACAAAATAATAACAAAACGATCCATATGTACACTTCGTTTCCAATAATTGATTGAAGTCCGATTGATTTAAGTACCACTAAGGCAGGGTGGGCAAAATACAGCCCAGGGGCAGGATCCAGCTCACCGAAGTATTTCATCCGGCCCACTTGTGCCTGTAGAATTTACGACTACAGTATATATAGTTTTTATGGATATACATTTGCGTTGAAACTAACGAGTCTTCGGCTAAAATATAGACATGTATTATCTGCACCTGTAAATAATGTGGAAAACCAGCCACATATACCTAAACTCATTCAAGATGTCCCGATTGCTACATTATGTTGTTTATTATATAAACCTTAGTCTAGGTTTGAACTTATTTTTCTACTAACTTTCTCTCTGCAGCTGCCGTAATTTGCCAGCCACTGTAACAAATCCATCAGTATGAGTATCCATCGTTTTTGATCGTTAACGATACCTCGTTTCCAGGATAACCAGGTATTCTGTTATCAAGGGCATGTGTCAAAATGCCCGTTTTATCATATTCCTTACTTCTTAAATACACATCGGTTCACTTACCTTGGAAATATCCTTTCCTAAAGTAATGTTTCTTACCCTTGGATAGCAATACGAATGATGCCTCGTTTCCATGTCAACGAGGTATTTTTTTGGATGGCACCATATCCAAAATTAATCAGAAGATGCTACTTTACATGTGTGCCAAAGTTCATGCTTGCACCCAAAAGTGCACAATTCTATCATATTTGAGGTCTTATCCGCTGGACTAGGGGGTATATTGAGCATATGGGGTTAATTGAGTACAATGTATAAAAACCTCGCTAACTTCTTTGTATGTTGAGTGAATGGTGTGTACTTTGTAGCAACAAAAGTTCATATCCTATGCTTCCATTTCATTGCGTATAACTCACTTGCCTACCAATGATAAATTTGTTTTAGATGCTTGTATGTGAAATTTTTTTTGTTCGTGAAAAAAATTGTTTTGGGAAACTTTCTGGTGACACTTTTCTAATAGTATATTTTGAACTTTTTGTGATGCCTTTTAGTACCTTAGTAAAGACTCTCTTTGCCCCAGTAAATAATTTTTGTGTAACTCATTGACTTTTCGTTTTATTGATGTTTGGAAAAATCGAGGTAAATTGAGTCTGTCGGAAATTTACTGTGGGGTAAATCGGGTATATGCATAAATGGCCTCTCCCACTGCTATAACACAGGATTATGTGGTTCTGTGTGACAATTTTGAGCCCTAACACCTTTTTTTAGCCGTTTTCATGTCCATCTTTCAATATAGGCTTCTAATTTTGATGAATATGAGTGTAAATCCACAATGGGCAATTGTAGGATTTCGAGAGAGCAGTTCTTTTCTTGTAACTAAAAAAATAGTAAAAAAGAAAGCTGTGGATAAGCCAAGCACAGAGTCCTACTCCATTAGTAAGCTTAGTGCACTTACAAACTCTTTAGCTGACGTAATCACACTCACTGTCATCTCCGAAAACATGTAGTAATAATGAAAAAACAGCCATCCCAGAAAAAGAATTCAGGCGAAAACTATATACTGATATAACATCAGTTGAAAGTATATACCATTACCTGATAGGATAGACTTAAAATGGATATGATTGGTAGAAAAAAGAAAAACAGCAGAGGGAAAGATCCTAATAATAGTTCAGAAAAGCAGTAACAGAGTCAGAATTAGATTCGGCTTTGCTGACAACATGACAGAATATGAAACAGAATTCTCACATAGTACAGCTGATTATAACAGAGGACTAACTATAAGTAGCATATTCTGACATTAATGAAATCAAGACCTTACCTAACTGGTTGAAATATGGGGAAAGGGAATTCCTTGGCCAAGTTGTCCTCACCAATGTACATAAAATGAACTTTTTTTGACACCAGTGTATGAAAGAGCTCAAAGATTTTGTGTTAGATTTAACCCAAAATAGGAACATAAAAAAATTATCTCTATCAAGGAAGTTGTTGGCCAAGTCAAACCACCCATTTCTAGTCCATACTGAACTTGTATTTAAACTAAAAGCCCATTTGTGGTAAAAAGTTTATGGAAACCATAATTGCGATCTATCATACCAAGTTTAAAATGATGTCAGATAATTATGTTCCAAGGTTTTTGTAATTACTATTTTTTAAAATAAACTATATGTACCCAAGTTTCTCATGAAGGTCTTTAATTTGGTTCTAGGGCTTTCTTAGATATGATTTAACTGGTAGATGTCAGTATACTCAATTATCCTCGAAAAATGAGGTAAATTGAGTACACTGACTTCCAAAAAAAATTGCATTTTTAGGTGACTTGAATACATCGAATAAGACTCAAACTGTTATGCAAGGAAGGACAGAGTCAGAATGTTACAATGAAACCATAATTTCACGGAGAATCGATTTCACTCAGATTTTACATCGGTTCAAATGTCAAAAACTACTCAAAAAACCCCACCTAATCTAACGAACGCTCACAAATATACTTATTATTTTGTTGAAAGAGATCATGTTATTTTTACTTATCACTTTAATACTATCTCGTTCAAGCATCCTTGTGACAAGTACCACATACACGGATACCAAACACACGGATCCGAAGTAGAAAGTAAACAGTTTAATTAATACACAATACCCAAGTTCCCCTAGTATTGGCATAATTTAACTAAGTGTTGCATTGTGTATGCATTTTGCATTAAATCCTGAACCATTCAGTAATAATACTGGTATTTTATATTAAATCAATCTGGCACTTGTCATAATAACGATAAATTTTCTTGGTCATTTATTTTATTTTCAATTGTATTTGGGAAACTTTTTTTTAAAACTATTATCTTGTCTTCATTAACCTATCTTTGATTAATTTTTTTTCCTTATTTACTCTCACTACAGTATCTGATGCGATATCAAATCAGCATTTATGGACTTCATCCAAGCAAAATGATCAGTTAACAGTATTTTATAAAGAGGTATTTTATTTATACAGTGATACCACGGCAGTCGAACATTATTCGTTCAGCATTGGTTACCTCAAGTGTGCAGGGCAGACGAGTAAAACAATAGTCTTTGAGCATTATTAATAGTGCACATTATTTCAGATTGATAAAGATATATATGTAGTATAACATATATTAATTAAGAAATTAATACTTGGGATCCAAATGCGTTAATTGATTCAGATGCATTGGGCACTGACGCTGGTAATCTTGGTGTTCAATTAGAAAACTCATAGGGTTTGGTTACTGTTGGTGTTCAAATAAAAAATGGTTAGCCTCCTTATCCTATCAAACCGATACACAGAACTATGTGCGCAGGATTTTGTGCCAATATAATGCCGTATTTTGGATTTTGCGCATCGGAAAATCCACTAATTTTCTATTGATATATTTCTTAATTAATAATTACCATGTAAAATTAAAAATTTCAATATAATAATTTGGCAGCGAAAATAGCCAAATTAGTTGAGCTAGTCTGGCTGATAAATAGCTAACTAAAACAGGCCAGAATCCTATTCCCGTTTGTACTCGTGGGAATGGGGACGTGCATGGCTCATAGTTTACGGTCTATCCAAGCATAAAATTATTTCAAGATCAGTAATTTAACGTATTTTTGAAAACATTCTGGATCATATTGAAAAGCTGAATATATCGGAAATATCGGTCTACATTTAGCCTATACCATTACACTAACGATACCGAAAACTTGGCCCATTTTGCCGATACCGATAGTCTGATACCTTATACTGATACATTGGTACATCTCTAGTTCGTAGTACTTTGTTTTGGACTTCATATCCATATATTTGAGCATTGTTCTCTTATTGAATGGGTAAGAGGTAAGCGAGATGCGGTTCGGGTGATATTATCTCACTCGTTGGAATGGTCAGGTGTTCATGCACCAAATTTCTGTTCCAGTATTGCTGGAAGTATATGTACTGAATCGTTGGAGTATCGAGTTATTTGACTATCGAGGTATCACTGAATATAGTATATACATATATATGGGTTCACTTTCTCACTTCGCTTTTGATTGAATTATTGTGACAAAGGTTTTTATACAACGATAGGATCTCTCTAATATGTTTTTCATATAAAATTTTGATTTCAGATATCTGCTCCTATAGGTGTTCATAAAACTGTTTCATTCATCAATGACATATTGGAGAGGAGAGAGGTAATGGACTTAAATAATTCTGATTCCTATAAACTACTTGAGCAGTTATGAAAGCTTCATACAGCTGTATATTGTCTGAAGTGGAAATAAATTTAGCAAAAAATTAACTCTGGTAAATTTTTTTCTAATAGATTGGTAAGCAACAAGTCTTACGGGTTCAAATGTTGTTGTAAAATCTAAAATTTAATGACTGATCAATGAATGTATTAAAAACTGCAATGGAAATAATAAATATGTATCAGCTTCTAAGAGGCCTCATATTCTGGCCAAATAGCTGTGGTACAAGTAGGTTTGGAATTTTTGCCTAGTTACCAAATAGGGTAACTGATATGGAGAAAAAAGTTAATTATGATTGCTTTGAAATGACTTAAAATAAGGGGATATTAACAAAGCATGAAGGACATGGTAAATTAGAATCCATCAATAATTGCATTGGTAATATGCTTTCTAGGTCAACTGGAAAAATTTACTCACTTTTGTATCGTCTCTCCTGATCAGTTTTCCAGATTCTCGAAAGTATCTTGATGGTATGTATGTGTGTCCACTAGTGTAGCATTTAGTTAGAACCTTGTGATCTTAATTTGAGCAAATTTGCATAAAAACATAATGACAACTGCTATTTGTTTTAAATTCTTGTTATATTCTGGTGTATATTAAAAATGTTGTGGTCACCGTCTTTTTATGTCACACAATCCATAAGTAATAAACTGTTTATCAGTTTTAATTCCTTTACCTAATATATTTTTGCTTTATATCAATAGATAATCTTTGTGAACGCCCTATGTCATGCAAACTAGCAATCATTTACTTTGTGTAGGCCTATGAAAATTGTGATTTTGTGTTCATGCATTGATACCTCGGTAGTTGAACATAATTTGTTCAAGATTGGTGTACAACTACCGATTTCTTCAATTGCCCAAACATTTTTTGCTATAAGAAACAATATGGTAATCATATACAAAGCTAATACAAAGTGCATACGCGAGGGTATGATATTAATATCGAGAATATTTGTGAGCATATCACAGGACGGAAATATTTTGCACCCGGCTGTTTGTTGGCAGAACAACGATACGTACGCTAAAGTTAATTGATCGAATACAGGGAAGTATTTATTTATCATCTCACTTGCGAACATCGAGGTTTTGGCGGAATTGTACGATCATGTTGTCTTTCTTAAATAATAACTTTTTCCATAAATGTTCATTTTACTTTTGCGTCTTTATTATATGTCGGGTTTTCATTTATTTTAAATTCGAAATTGTCCGAAATACTCCCAACAGGTGTATAAGTACAATAATAATAATAGTACTTACCAGGGAAGTTTAATACACACGATGTGTTGAGGGCGTCGTAACTCCCGTTTTTTTTAATTTGATTGTTTTCTGCTTAAAAAACAACGTCGTTTTGCAGTCATCTAACGTAACTCTCGCGACCAAATCTTTTTTGGTTTTGTATGGAATCGTCTTGGCGCAATTTATTGCCGACTGAATTTTAATTGTGTTTTAGGATAAGTTATTTTTTGTTTGTTGGTTTCTAAACTTTACAAACTTGGGTAGCAATTACTATTAATGTGAGATTTGTGCATATGAATCGCGACTGGATGTCCGATATCTGAGAATACGTACTTCTCTTTCAACATTAATTTTCAGGATATCAGCGTTCATGTGGTCGAATAAAAATTACCCTATTTATCAAATGGATTGGTATTTCGAGACACTCTCAAAATTGTTTGGGATCCACTATCATATCATTCGTTTATTTTTTATATTCATGTTTTTTTCAAGAATCACCCTGGTTTTATTTCGTGTACCTTCGCAAAAGAAAACTCCTTGGTGTCATCGTTCCTATTAGTGTAAATGAAATATATGGAAACCTCGCAAGTGGCGTTGTGATGCGAATACAGTAATTGATACTAGGTCAGCAGCGTTACAAAGAGTGCTATTTATGAATGCTGAAAGTACATGGCATTACTAAACATTTTGCCAATATATGATGTTTTCTGCCCGATTTAAACTAACTCGCACGCAAACCAAGGCACGTGGACATTTAAAAATTACTTGTCTTTGGGTAAGCTCTGAGATAGTATATTATATATAAATGGAAATGAGAAATTAGGTCATGCTAGCTCACGAAACGGGGAGGATTTTTGGGGGGGGGATTATTTTGCACTGGATTTGTACAAATGATCCACCCTGTAATAATATGGTTTCCAGCCTGCATGTATCAATCGTTGTCTGTTAGATGGAAGGAGTAACGCAAATGTGAAAGCCTTTGCTGTTCACGCGAGTAAGCAAATGACACGGTGATACATTGCATGAAAGTTTTGTCCGCGGCAGGTGTTAGCAGATGTCCTTTCGCTACCGATGAATTCGCTTGTTTTAATTAAACATGAATTCGCTTAAAGGGAACTCGGTTAACGGAAAGGCTTCTCTTTAATTCATAATATTAACCGGAGGAGCGCTTTTTCGAGTATCTATGCCGTTTTAAATGGGTTATATGAAAGGCTAGTGCACCTAACTTGTTAAAATCGGCATAAGCACTTTCGCACTTTTTTTTTCGACTGCGAAGCACTTTCGCACTCATAATTCGCTTAGAGTTAACACTGGTGACCACATTTAAGAATTTATCTGTAACAAATAAAACAACTGGGGAACCACCACCGCTAAGTGTCGCAAAATGAAATTGTTATTTACTATCATTCTATCCCTCCAAATTTTCCCATTATATTGGGAAATCGCTTAGAGGGACATAAAATGTCCTTCGCAAGATATCTATAAAGACATTCTCATTATACAAAACATTTCTTGAGGTCACTATCCCCGTTTATAATGTTTGACAAGTGTACCCCATACCTCAGCATCTAAAATGGCCCATACCTTGGGCACCCTACCCGTACCCGCCATGCTTTCAAGCAAAATCTGATTACAAACAAAGAGGAGCTCTTTCACCCAACACCCTCTTTAACAGGACCAAGATGCAGGTTCCTAGCCCTTTGACAGATTTTGTTAAAGAACCACAACTGGTTGTGCTATCTCAATTATTCCATAAAAAAGCTTTAAATATAAGAAATTACTAAATACCTTATAGCTGAGACACCTTCTAAGCTGCTGACCTGCAAATAACATGTGTTGCTTGGTAGGACGTGTGCAATTATCACACCAAGTTACAGGTGATGGTGACATCATAAAGCTGTTGAACTGGCAATGGCCCACACCTCAAGATGGCCCATACCCCTCCACTTTCTCCTACTTGCGAGTACTTTTGTGGAACAATTTTACAGATATCAGCTATATTATATTATATCTATTATTCGCCTTTCCAAAGCTGGGTTCTTGGACACCCTGTTGCCTCGAAATAAATATTTGATTCAGGGATACAGAATTGTTATTGCTCAATTAATACAATTATCTTGACAATTATCAACTTATTATCTTACGGGCCAACATCAATTTTCTTGTGGAATTTTACTTTCTGCCCCAAATATTAACTTTTCGATGAATGTTTATTTTGCCCTTATGTATTATTTACTTAAAGAATGTGGCTCAAAAATATATGCCATATTCTTATACGCCATTCATTATTCGATCAATGGAAACTCTTAACAATAACGATTGCCGAATCAGCCAAATAAAGGAATGTGTATGTAATCTGTCGATTGTGTACCAACGAGAGAGGGGCTGCTTATATAGTTTGTTTTATTGTATGATTTTCAAGCGAAACGATATCACAAGTCCACCATTATTATAATACCTAAAACTGCCGCTGAATCAAAGTCCTGTGTTACGCCACCCCAATTACACAGAGATTAATAATGTTTCAACAGTTTCAAATCAATGCTAATTATAGAACAAGCGTATTCCCGCAACGCTAAATTGCCATTTTTGCCCATTCATTTTGATTCGTAGTTTGTGCGAGGGATGAAAGTCATTACCGCAGGTTATGGTTGAATGCGTGACTAAAACTGCCCGAAAGACTTTTTCCGTCATGTGTGCTTAACATCGATTTTTACAAACTCGCCACAAACGATTTGAATAATTTGGACACAATTCAAATGGACAGTCTTGTTTAAAACTTTAGTTTTTTTAATGAATGGGGCACTTTTTTGATTACCAAATGCATTTAGAAGAGTTAAAATGAAAGCCAAGGCGTGATCACTCGTGTCTATATATTTTCTCATTTTGAATGGTCAAGAGGCAGCCGAGATGCACGATTTGGGTGACGTCATCTTACTCGGCAATGTACTCGTGTTCGAGCATGAAATTTCCGTTTAGGGACCGCAGAATTTTGAACTAGAATATTTTGGCTGACTATTGAATTGTTGTTTGTCGATGTCATTTGACTACTTAGGTATAACTATATTTTTAACATGCAGTTCTGGATAAAGTCAAGGGGTTCATTTTAGCGCAACTTATTTGATGTTTTTTGTTATTTGGTTTTTCTTGTTGGAAAATTTCAATTTTTTCCAGAATTGATAAGTGAAAAGCTCTGCTGCAGTTTTGAAACAATGTCGGTAGAACTTCTCGCAACCTCGTTTTTATTGGCTCGTCAGCTATCAATGGAAGGATTCTATGTTTTCACCACATATACATCCTGGTTTCAAGTAAGTCAATAGTTGTGATTTACTTGCCTGTTATTTTTTAAATGAAGACTTATTGAACATCTAGAAATATTGTTGATAAAAGTTAAAAATCTTTGTTATGGGTACATCACCTATATTGATGAGATTTTTTTCTAACTAGAGCTCGTATAATTTACCAAAAGTTACAGGTTTTGTAGATATAAATATAATATTGATAAAAACAATTACCATATTTACATTCAAATAAGTCGACCCGGAGTATAAATGGGAGTTTTCCACATTGCTGCTCAATAAGTTTGGACAGAAAATTGGATTATTCAGTTTCTCTATTAGTCTATTTTACTTCTTTTTACATCAGTTTATTAGAACTAGATAATATTTATTTTGGTAAAATCATACCAATGGAATTAAATACTCTTCCCAAGAAAGTCATTATTTGGAGGTAAAACGGTAGCAGCATTCACTCTCATAAACCCCTTAACTGGAGCGTTGTGACAATCATTAATTTACGGCAACATGATGTGATGAATATGGCACTGTACTTCATGGGTTAACTGCTGTTCTGTCTGATCTGGTGTCCCCTACCTTCATTTCACTAAGTTGGCAAAACTGAAGGGCCATTACGAGCCATGTTATGATTGCCACTAAGTTTTTAAAAAGAATGAAGACAACTAACAGCTGGCAATACAAAGTCAAATAACAATTGAATCAGAATATCGTCCTATTAGCTGGAAAATAAGGCAGTCATGTGAATATTAAATTCTAAAGTAATCTTGTTTTATAAATTCGGAGCACAGGAAAAGTTCGGAGCACAGACAACTTTGACTTCAACAAATAGAGCTTTTAAATTTTTCATCAAATTTTTGACCGATATCATCCCAAGCGAACCTGTTCGGTATTTAAAGGTTGGGTAAACATAATGTAGTTTATGTACTGTCTGAAAACTAGAGCTGTAGGCCTATATATAGCATGCAAAGTTGGGTGTTTAATAAATAAAGAACAGGGTGTCTCAAAAGTAAGTGTACACTTTTAATTTTGATTTGCCTTTCAGGTACTCCTCATTCATTCAGAGCAGTCATTTCTTCACAAAACATAGTTAGGATAAGTAGTATCATTTAGGTATTGTTTGCATTTTTCATCAACCGAATGACAAGAAGATTAAACCTAGTAATGAGGTGCAAAATTGCTGTTGAGAAAGAAGCATATAAATCAGTAAGGCAAGCTCAGCAGCCATTTAACAGAAAATTTTGGAATTAATTTGGCTCTGAGTGTTTTCCTCTTGAGTGTCCACTCCTTGATCTTTGTGCATCAACTACAGATACAGTTTCCATAAATTTACGATGAATTGCATAAATTGATCGTTGTGTAGAAGCGGAATTAATTCCAAATTATGTTAAAAATGCGAAAACAGCAATTTTGCACCTCATTTCTTGGGTAATCTTGTCATTCTGTGAGTTGATGAAAAATATTAATAATACCTAAATTTTACTACCTATCCATACTATGTTTTCTGAATAAATGAACGATCTATGATGGAGTACCTGGAAAGAAAATCGAAATTAAAAATGTATACTTACTTTTGAGACACCCTGTATATTAACCCTGGTTTTCGTAGTATTCAAAATGCAATTCATTGGATATAAGATTAACAACTACATAAATCCGCGTCTTTACTACTGTCTACCCGAATTCAACAAATTGCTAATCTGCCTGCTAGCCTACATTCACTTTCCAATATGTAGGGGTGTACTGAAATTATTAACGTGAGACCACGAATAATTGTTTACCGGTAATTGTTGTTAAATCGTTTCATTTTATAAGTGCTATTGCTACGTAATGATAATGCCACAATTTCCTGATCTACCGTAATTGAAAACTGTATGCAACATTTGGAAATGCATGGCAACCCACATATAGAATTCATCATTGAATGTATATGAAAATGCCACTTCTACTTCTATTTAGGGATGCGACGAATCCAAAAAAGGTTGGGCTCAGCCGAATCCCGAGTATTTGCGCTGGACTCGTGTCCGAGTCCCGAGTCCAATACTTTTACATAGCTCCGAAATAAATACCTAAAGTGAAGCTGTTGTTTGCGTATATTGGCCGTAAATTAAACTTTCTGTATGATAAGACTATGCAATTAAAAACGTTGCACATAAACACTATTGCTTTCGAGACAATCATTCGCTGAGCGGCTAGTTTAAATTAGTATAAATAGGTCCTATTCCCCGTCGAAGGAATACTTTGTTACGTAACCCTGATCGACCGCCGCGCCGACTGCTGAAGACGCCGCGCTCGTGTCCTGTCACGATAAATATGGGTCATAACCCACACGTTTGGAACAAATTTTTTTATGGGAAATTTTTACTTATATGTTATCTTTTTTTTCAGTCGGCGCTGATAGAGACGCCCATCTCCGTGATAATTGAGATATTAATAAAGAATTGCCAACTGTGGAAGCATCGAATAAATGTATCTTATAAATATATCGTAACAAAATAGCTAGCTATTCTTCATTTGAAAACCATCAATAGCGATTGTCGAATCCGAGGAAAATAAGAATGTGTAATTGTTGATTATAAGTCAATAAGAGAGACGCAGAAGGCGAAATGTGTTATATGCTAAGTTACGGCTGTCTGTTCAAACTCATGGTCATGACACAATCATTTTCATTGATACAAATAACGGCGCTTTGAAAAGCAAAATCGAATTTATTATCATTAATTTAGAAGAGAGAGTTACGAGTAAGAATTCACATACGACTCTCGCTAACAGACAGAAACGATAAATGTGAGAATTATTATGTTTTTGGTTTTCTTTCTGCGCCTATCGTTATCTTTACAATTGCCAATTTTGCATGAAGCGCGCCAACACCATTTCACATTTAGAAACGTCAAACCAGATTAAATGAGGCAGGTAAATAATGTAATATATGGAAATATTGTTTGGACTAGGTAGAAATGCCATCGAACTCGAAACAGCACGCAATGGTATATTTCCGGAGTTTTTATTTATTATCTAATACTAAAATAACACAGCCACGATAGGTATTGTTCGCTTTAAACAGGGACCGTAATTTACAAACTGTGATATGGAAGATCAAATTCAGAAGATGAGACCAGAATAAAATTAATAATCTTCGCCGATTTGTACTCACACTTCTGCCTGAAATATAAAAACGAAACTTCAATGTCCGAGTCTCCAGTCTTCTGGTAATTTTCTACTATCGGTAAATAAAAAGAAACAGACGAATTATTCGATCAGGAAAAATCACTAATCAGGACCGTCACTAATCGCGGTGTATGTAAATACTTATTGAATAAAAATAAAAAGTCGGCCCGATTAACATCCAATTACCACGAGTAATAGTTTCCAAATTTATGCACATTTAATCGATGCGACTTGCGAGATTGTTTTTGTACATATATACGATTGTAACGCCACTGACATCTGCGAGTTGTACTTTTCTTTCAAAAGTACCGTGATTTTCACTATTTTATCGTTTCATTTCTAACATTTCTCACATTTGTTTCTTTCCGGAAATAGCTAGATCATTTATGGAATGATAAAAGGCGAACAGCGCGACATGGTTACCGCTAATTGCGGATTAATCACTGTTCGAGGATTAGCAAGTATATGCTTGAAATAGGACGTGGTAAACATTCACTAAACGACGTCTGACAATGGAAGGCAAGCTACACGCAACACTGGAATTTATTCAACTGACTTTCGCTGACATTTTTTGTTCTTACGGCCTCGAGAATTTTTAGTTTTGGCGCCTAGTTTTAATTTCACCGTGGAGAAAATAGGCTGGACAGTCTCGTGGCAAAACAGAACGAAAAAGTTGCCGCCACCAGTCTGCGCTTGACTATCGCGTGACGTATGATATCCCGGACTCGGGTAAAATCATCAAAGGCTCGGGCCGAATCCGAGTAGCAAATTACGGGAGATTCGGCCACGAATCCGAGCACGAGTCCGAATCTTGTCGCATCCCTACTTCTATTTAAAAAAAAAACAACAACTAGATTTCACATTTTTTGTGTCACACTTTCAGTCACATGTTGTCAAGCCACCACACGCACCTTCATCTTGTACAGAGAATTTGGAGGAATATTGTGCTCTTGCTCGAGGAAGAGTCTTCGAACTTGGCGGAACTGTTGCTAAAGAATCAGAGCAAACTGCTGAGGTAGGTAAACAGAGATTGCAATGAGTAAAGATATAGAAAAAGATCAAGTAATGTTTTAATCATCATGAAGTGTTTATTTATTCAGGTTGAGAAAAATGTGAGAATGGTATTAGAGGAATATGAAATTACTAAAATGATCCCTAAATCATTGATGGAAGCAAGGTACTATGTTTCAATTTATAGCACGCTTTGTATAATATAGCAGTTGTGAAGGTAAAAAATTTGTGAAAATTGTATTTTCGCTCTGAGATACCATTACATGGACACGAAGATCGCGCATTGGTACCGGTACCAACTAAAATTTAATTTGAGAAAGTAAAAGTATGGTAACAGCCTCCTAATGACAATCATTTTCAAAGGACTGAATTTGAAAACTTTTTGTCAATATGTTGTGGATAATGGTAATTGGGTGATTGATTCATCCTTGTTACAACAAAACCGCAAAAGTTTAGCAAAATGACCGATTTGTCAGCTTCATGTACTGGGAATATCATCTACTGGTATTTAGGTCTAGACTAGATCACTCTGAAAGAATCTTATGATTTTGAAAGAATCTTATGATTTTGTTTGAAAGTCAAATTATCAACCAGTTAAGTTGCAACTTCCATCAGATTGCAATTATATAGGAATTGCATTTGTGGGGAAATAATAAAGATATGACTTATCATTCTTGATCATCTCATCTTTTCATTCAAATGTTACCGTAACTGCCGTTTCTTTTCAATAAACATTGGCTTAATATATCTGTGCGTAAAGCCATATTGATACCATTTGTTGTAATATGAAAAGTATCTAATAATAATAATATCACTGCAACCTACACATTTTAACACATTATGAATCCATTGGACATATCCAAATTGAAAGTTTAAAATTTAGGATTCACATAGCATAGTAAGTTGATTGATATTGAATTCATCACAATTCAATAATATGTAAGTTGTTATGAACAAGTTTTCATGAACAACTGCTATATTTGAATGTGGCTTTCATGTTGAATTTCCTTATTTTCAAAGCATTTTTCACAAAGTCTATTTTCAAAAAAAGTTTTTGCCAGCACTGATGAAGCCTAAGCCAGTGAGTATTTTTGTATTTTCTTTAGTAGAATATTTCAATAATGAACTAATGATTTCAATAATGATAATGAACATATCTAACAAAATTTTTATTTTGTGTTGGTTATAACGACTAGGTAGACTTGTTTATAAATATTTTTCAAGTAATCTTTAAACGTGTTATTAGTGATGTAATATCAATGGATAGTAATTGAGAAAAAATCCCACATTGGGTGATCAATGATATGGATTCAACATTAGTACCATTTTCTGGTAATTTTTCTTTAGTAAGTTGAAAGTTAATTAAACTGTCAGTATTCAATTAGCGTTTGGAATAGTCAGTGGAGTCCTGGAACAGTAAAAAATTTATGGAACAAATTCTGCTCGGATTTTGTTATCAAATAAGTTGTTGAAATTTTTGAAGCTTATTATTTACATTTTACTCACAGTTTTCAGACTTATCTGATACATCAATGAAATTGATAGAAGATTTGCTCAAGTAAGTTAAGGAAGTATGTATTTTTTGCATTCACTTGTAAAGTGAAGTATTGCCATGCAGCATGGCCATGCTGGGGAACAATGTTTCTGGTTTGAAATAATGAAATCGTCGGGTTCATCAATCTGGAACGAATGATTTATCTGTTGCCATGCCATGAATTGACAAGAGTCGTGACATGAAATTTTTGACATGTTAGCACCCTAATTCCTCCCACAGGATATCCCAATTATAATCGAAAACTGATTATTAATTTCAATTTTGTTGTTTGTTAATCTTTTTAACTTAATAAATATTATTTATTCAATCATTTATATAATAATTTTCAACTTCATTTTTTATGGAATGTTATTGGTATTTTAGCAACCATTTTGGAACATCTCTTTTATAAATATTGTACTGCGTGTTGTGCATAGATTTACTTTTGAATATTCTGAATAAAGTTTAATTTTTTTTGATGCCTTCATTAACAAGAGCTCAAAAGATATCAAAAAGCATGTACAGAGCATATAAAGAAGAATGCGAAAAAAAACACACAAAATCTTTGCAAGGTTTGGTGTTGTTTTGTATAAATCTTTGAATAAGTTGGTTCAAAGGAAAGTTGCATTGAAATATATTTGTGAAAGATTGATAAAAACCTTCATCGATTGTTATAGAATTAAACATATGTAATCAGATATTAACACACTTGGAAACAGAAACAATATGAACTTTCAATCTCTTGAAACTTAACAATAGTTATTTATTTGTATATTCACAACTCATTAGTTGTGGATGTTGGGTTAGTTGCTGTAAAATATTTCCAATGTCATCCTAGAAATTGTAGTGTTGGATGATGATTCTAATTTTGATGGTGATGAAGAAAATCATTATAAACATTTCAGTTGTATCTTGGAAATAATTGAAAGAGAAATTGTTTCTGAAGCATTTATGGGTATGTATTGTATATAATTATTTGAAAATTAACTATTATGCTGATGAAATATTTGCTTTGTCTTGAATATGTTCTCTATGTCATTTTATTCTAACTTCAAATTAAGCTATGTTTACGCCTGAAACTTCTGAAATGATTTCGTTGTTTGTTAGGCCATGAAATTGTGCTTTTGAGAATTAGTTATTTTTTGATATTTAGAATTCACAATATATAATTCCTAATTTTTGTTGCATGGTGATTGAAAAATGAAATTATACTTATATCGTTTATCCATTTTGGATAAACGATACATTTTGGATAAAGTTATATATTGGATGCACTTCCACTCATTAAAATGATTTTTAATGTAACTTGAAACATCGTTAAATATTGGAGTTACGTACTAATTTTCTACCTTTATTTATCAATATTGATTATTTACATTGCAGATACCAATTGTTCTACCTCATTGACGCAGTTATTAACAAAATTGAATAAAATATTGTACTCTGTGGAAGGTTCAGAAACAAATGAAATTGAGCCTATTGGCATAGTATCTCTTTGTTTGAAATATAAACACCACAAGGTTATTAGTCAGGTAAAATATATAAAATTGATGTCAGATATGTACTAATATTTTTTATGCAAACAAATCAATATCAAAAACATATTAAACATGACTTAACCATAGCATGGATCCTGGGATTTCTTCACTTTAATTACTTTCCTATTATTATTGATTATTTTGTGGTCGTTTTATTATCTTAATGTTGTTGCAAATTTACAGATGGTCAATGATTTATTAGATTGGGCAGGAAAAATTCATCATGCCTCTGATATGACCTATTCAAAACTGAAATTATTGACAGCTGTTTTCAAAGTTACTCATGAACATAAACTGTTGACGGATGAATTTTGTCATTTTATTTGGAAATTTTGCACAGAAGGTGTAAGTATTTTTCGATGTGACAATAAATTGATTCAAATTGATGAGCTTATTTTCTATACATCAACAAATTTGGTAAATATGGTGAATTCTTGATAGAATTGCGCAGAACTGTGTTTATTTGATGATAATTTTCTTTATTCAGAGGATTAAGATTTTTTCTCTTAGATTTGATATCACTCCATTCATGCTTCAAGGCTTTCTTTGTTCAGTAGGAGAACACTTTAACCGGGTAAAATTAACTAATTATATCTTTCGTCAACCGCAGTTTGTCACAATGGTCCCAAAGTAATTATGCGTGATGTTATCCTTGTAACGCTCAAAGTTAATCACGGGTTGAGATAGTTTCATGATCGCTCAGTTTCATGATAGCTCTACTGCAAGAGAAATAAAGCGAAATAAATTAATTTGAAGTGTTCCTCGCTATTTCCTGAGAATGTCGATATGTTGATATATTTTTGTGACAGAATGCGCACTTATTGATTGACATTGAAGAAACGCTTTTGCAATAAAATCTTGATCAATATATTCTGATCGTAAACTAATTTTCAACTTATCGTACTAATACTAATACTCTAATTATTTTTCATAATTTTGGTTCTTACCAATACAGTTAGGGATATTCTTTTGAATTAAACGCCACAGGAGATATGTCACTGAGCTACTAATGCTATAAGAAATAGTCAAAAGTGATTACTTCTATGTTTATAGATGGGATGCATTCCCAAGTCAACAGTAAAAGGAATTGCTTTGTACTTGATTATAAATGGATCATCCATTCAAGTGAAGATTCCTATTCTATCTCATTGCAGAGGGAAAATCCTGAAATCCTGTTTGTTTGGCAAAACCATTGAAAATTGGCAGGTAACCTTCTTATGAAAGTATCATTACTATCCTACTCTACACAATTATGTATGTATTTAATGTGTATCTAGTTTTTGAAACTAGATAGATGAGTTACAATTATTTTAAGATATGGGTACTAAAACTGACTCTACATAACATGGATACTCGAATCAGTATCACATTATAAGACAATGGTCATAATAATATTAATAATTGTGAAAGTATAAATTAGCTTTGTGCTGCCTGTTACCTAGTTTCAGTGGGTGTTTCGGAAATGTCTGATCCAAATGACGTTAGTTGTTGCTTGTGGAATTGTGGTATCATTTTTTCAAAAATCATACAAGAAAACGAACTATACAAACATCTCGTTGGATCACAATCAACCATTTTAATACACATTCATTTATTTCGCTGATTCGGCAATCGTTATTATTAAGTTTCCATTGCTCGAATAATGAATAGCATCCTGTAATATATTTTTAAGCCACATTCTTTTAAGTAAATGATACATTTATTGAAAAGCTAATATTTAGGGTAGATCGTAAAATTCTGTGAAAACACGATGTTGGTCACAAAGGTGATAATTGTCAAGATATTTGTGTGAATTGAGCAATAACAATTCTGTATCTCTGAATAAAATATTTATTTCGAAGCAACAAAGCGTCCCAACCCTGATAATAAGACTTGATACAATCCCCTTACAGCAGAAAATGATAGGCAAAGCCGAGACGAAGCCCAAGGTTTAATTATCAATCTTAGAGCAATTGATTTCATAAAAGAATAATTTTAGCTAGAAATAAATAAGAATGGCATTATGGAAATATAGCTAGACTGCAAGTAGTAGAAACTTATTTGAAATTTGTCACTGTTATCATTATTGTAGTGGATCCTTTGCTTTCTAAGATATGTAATTAACGCACTCTCGTGAACACTGTCAATTTAGAGCAATAGGCCTATGGGTTTTCTACTGATAAATGCTCATCTTGTAATGTCATATTTCTTTAAAGACAACGTATCAACCAAATCTTACATGGCATTCTTTACATAGCAAGCAAGCATTTCAGATTCAAAGTTTTATTGTCCTAGTATGCGCTGACATTCAAGGAGTGATTGTCGTTCATTTACCAAAAATCAATGCCCAGCTCTCATTTGGGGAACACCCTCCCTCTACTCAAACAGAAAATGTAACTCTCTGTATAGATTACTTGGCTTAAAATGATATTACCGTATTTCTGGACGAATAAGACGAGGCCCGTTTTTAAGACTGAAAAAATATGTTTTTGAATATAGCCTCCAAATAAGACGGGCAGTAAAATCGCGTCAACATCGGAATCTCAAATTACCATGCAACTGCTTTTGAGCAGTCGCCGCGTTTGCTCATTGGTTAAAATAGCCTATAATGAATTTTCATTCCATAACAACTACAGGAATTCAAACTGTAACTTCCAATTTTAATCTAATTATGTTCAACGTAACTCACGATTGCATCCACCATATAAGAACATTACCGATCTAAAATAACACAGCAATCTGCGGACATAATAATGTGAGATAAACTACCTGATTATATTTAGTTTTGATACATATTTTTACATTTTTTTGCATATTTTTCTTGCGAATTCGTTATTGCTGTTCTATGAAAATCCGAAGATACAGAAGAATATATAAAGTGTAAAATATGCAACATACTGTACATACATATTCATCACCTCGAAATCTCCACCAAACGAAATGTGTTGCTTCATTGATTTAATTGTGATCAATTTGATCTGCGATTGTGACAATATAAATAGTTGTTTCTGCAACAAATATTCCTTCCGCTTCGTCGCAATGCTGCCACTCATTATATTGAGGGTATCACAGTAGGAAAAAACCTTAAGTTAGCGATAATATCCCACAGAATAAAATTTATTTTAAAAAATGAATTAAATATACTTTACATTGTCGTAATTAGGGTATTATACTTATATCATAGTCGCGTCAGGCACTGTCGGTAATTGTAGAACACAAAATGTTTTTGTGATTTGCAATGTCTAAAAGCCATCAGAGTTAATCTGTCACAGGTCATCCTAAAATAAAACTTAAATGATGTTTCCATTCTATTTTTAGTATTTTATCATGCCTCTTTTCAATCAAGAAAATTTGTGTCAAGTATTCACTTCTTTATTATTAAATTAGCATGTTGTCACACATGATTATGTAATGAAGAAAATTTGGGTCACATATTCACTCCTCTATTTGCCTTAGCATCTTGCCACACATGATTATGTGATAAATCATATCTCACAACACAAATGCAGCAACTTCAAATATGTCAATCAAAGGGTTGAAATTCCATATTCACAATGCGAGAACGCGGATCATTTAAACTGCCCTGATTAGGATGTTATCCCCCCCCTCCCGAAGGTATTTTATGGTCCGAATTGAATAATAAGGCGACATCAAAAACATAAAAATGATCATACTCGCCTAATGTGAAGGACCCCCCCCCCCCCCCCCAAAATCAAGCCAAATATTTGGGTCTAGGAAAGCGACTTATTCGTCTGGAGATAGGGTACTTATTGATTTGATAATAATACATTCTCTAATCACTGAAAATATAAGTTTTTTAGGTTTTCAGACCTAGGGCCTTCCGGAAGGCCCTTTTCAAGAAAAATTTTGAAATGGTCTTCCTCCCATCATGTTATTTGTGTTAGTATTTCTTTCCAAAGTTTTTTATTGGTATTAGGTATTTGTGTTCTGGGTTTCTAGAAAAAAAATGTACCTAACTGAATAAAGTTACAGTAAACAAGAATCCATTTTATAAAACTGATCATTCAAAATTTTTGATCAAAAATTTGTAATTTACGAACAAAATTATATTTACAGTTTCTTCTGTTAGCATATTTAGATTTTAGTGCTACAACATGTGACAAGAAATTCATGAACATGAAAAAAATAGATCACAAAGGTCTTTTTATCTGGGAAATAGGGGTTTTGAAAAATTGATTTTCATCAAATTTTTCGAAAAATTGAAATTTTTATTAAAAATAAATAGGTTAGTGATAAAAAACTAATTGTTTTATATAAATTTTAACCCATCATTGTATTCATTAGATAACTGGCAATTAATTTCAGCCATAAACTCACCCATAAACTAATATTCGTTTATCGGCGCCTTTACAACTTATATACTTTTAACAGTCACGATGGCAATAAAATGGATGTTTATTTGGATAAACAATCCGTCAAGCCTATGTTGCGCTTATTAAATTATTAAGGGAAAAATTTTGTTGGAAATGAGTGTGATGTGTTGCGAAAGTGCCACGCAGTTTTCGCAAAAAAATGTTCTTTTTGTCAATATTCGTCTAACATTAGTTTGTCATTTGGAGAACTGTTTATACCTTCTGTTGGCGTATTTCTCCATTCAAGCATGGCTTTATAAAGTTCGGATCTATCTCTACTTGCCTTTATAATTAGATTCTTAAATCTTATTGGCAACCATGATGGTAAGTCAAAAATAAAAACGGTGACTAGCAGGGGCGCAGCCAAGATTTTTCCAACGGGGGGTTACGGTGAAATAAAAACATTACACCAAAAGTGCTATTCACGACGACGTAATAATGCGTTTAATAAACTAAAATGCATGGTTGTTCACAGCAAAATTCCACAGTTACGTGTAGCCCGACTCTCTTTGCCTGACAGTGTTTGGTGAATATTTTGCAAGTTCTATTTCAAACATCGACCAATAATCCGTAGTCAGTGGGTTTAGAAATAAAACAATAAAAATCGCGAAAATTAATTTTAGAGAACTATAACTCGCAGATGTCAGTAGCGTCATGATGGTTTATATGTACAAAAAACATGCTCGCATGTAGTGCCGATCAAATGCATGAAATGTGAAACTATTACTTGGAATTTATTGCTAATAATCAAGTTGATTTTTTATTGTCATTCAATGATTATTACCATGCGCCGTGATTAGTGGCGGGTAAAATTGTATTTTTCAATAGATTTATTCGAATATTTTCATCGAACACCGAATAATAAGTATTGTCATTTTAAACATTAATTTGGATGTCGACCGCCGAAACAACCGCCGTGACAATGAAGATCTTTTTTTTCCCGGATTTTACTAGAAGACTGAAAACTCCAAAACAATGCAGCGTTTTTTATTCCATAATTTTGTCATAATCGAAGACTGCAGTAAATTTTTTGTCACCGCGATTGTTTCGGCAGCCGACATTCCAATTAATGTTGTTAAATTATATTAAAGCACTATTTTATTCAAATAATAATTCTCACTCAACGGCGGATATCGTAGTTTGGTTTTCATATTTCGGACAGAATTGCGAGTTCACATCGGCGAAGATGTTAGAGACAACTATTAAGGAGTGCATTCACGACACAAATCAATTTTATTCTCATTTTTATCTTCTTTGTAGGATTTGTATCACAGTTTGTAAATTACGGTCCCAATTTTAAGCGAACAATATTATCCTTACTGACCCCGGGATGCGATATTTGTGAAGCGGATAGTTGACATTTTTATGCTTTTAATTTTAGATCGTGTCCGTCTTACTTTGGTATAAAATAATAATTAATAGCTCTGCAAATTGGTAATCTCTTGAATACTCAGTGTTGAGTATTTACGTAACTCAGCTTTGGTTTAAATCACTGATACTAAACACATGAATAAATCGGCAATAATACCATTTCTACGTGGTCAAAATAATATATATTTCTTCCCAATATCTCGAGAAATTTCCATAAAATACATTATTTACCTGTCTTACTTATCTGGTTCGACCTTTCTAAATTCACAAAAAACGATGTTGACACGCTTTATGCAAAATTAGGAATTGAAAAATATGAAGCAAAGAGGCAAGGAAAATTTTTTTTCACATTTATCGTTTCTACCAGTTAGCAATAGCTTTCCCCTAACTCATTGTAAATTAATGTTAATAAATTCTATTTTGCTTTTCAATGCACCGTGCTTTGTATTGAAATAAAAGTGATTCAGTCGGGAAGAGAAAGTCCTTAAATTAGCTTATGACCCTTCTCTTCTTTTGAGTACCCGTAACAGCGGTTAAATCATTTCATTTCTGTTTCATGGAGAGAAGGGAAAATATGCCTTTCGGAATTGCAATCAACAATTACAAATTTTTATATATCCTTATCAGCGCTAAATAAAAAAGATAACATATCTTGAAGACGGAAAAAGTCTGTAGGTGTTAATTGCTTTACGGTGATAACATGCAGAATGATATCGCTTGGACCGCGAAACCATGATGCGCGATCGTAAAACTAAGCCGTTGCTTTTTTGTAGATGAAACTCAAATCAAAATTTTTTCTCAAACGAGGGGTTACGACCCATGTAACCCCCCTGCTGGCTGCGCCCCTGGTGACTAGGATATGATAGATTTGTGAACCTCCAGTATTGCTGATTTCATGAACAGCAAAACATCGCCGGACTAGACAACACTGCAGTTAACCCAAGAAATACCATATTTCCCGGCGAATAAGTCTACCTGGTAAATAAGATGAGGCCCGTTTTTAAAGCCTGAAAAAAATCGGTTTTTGCATATAACCGCCCAATAAGACGGGCAGTAAAATCGGAATCTCAAATTACAATGCAAGAGCTTCTGAGCGGTTCGTTGCCGTTTGCACATTTGTTAAAATATCTAAGTATTCGAATATCTTTCCGGCTGATTTTCGAATTATTCCGAATAATAGCCATTTTTCGCCATCTGTTTCGTTTTAAAGAGAAATCTTTAAACGATTTCCGTGTTTTGTCGCGTAATGCAATGACGGTAAAATAGGGACACTTTGATTGTTCGTTATCTTCTATGCGAGCGCGCGCCTCGTATTGTTGCGACACATTTGCATGTTCGCGAGATTGGCATTATCACTATCGTCATTCCCCTGCAAGGCTCTCTAACTTACGCATTTATTTGTATTGAGTCATGGGTCTCCCATGAATACAAATAGTCAGGTATTAAATAGGTTAAATAATGTCGTGCACTTTGTTACAATTACGACACCCAATAAATTGTCTCAAGTCCGAAAAAACGAGTTGATTTAGAAAAAAATCATTTAAACTTTTTCCCGCTTTTGGCAAATAATTTTGATAATGATAGTCAAAAGTATCAGCCTTTTATTAAGATGATTTTCCGTTGCGATAAAACATTCAAATTCATGAACATTAGCAGCATTCGGAATGCCTTGTCGCATTAATTTAATTTTGTTAAATTAACTTAACTCATGGTTGCGTCAACTAACGAAAAAATAAAAGTATTACCGCGGCAATCTGCGGGCATACAAGGGTGTGGTAAACTGGCCAATTATAATTAATTTTTTATACCCATTTCCGTACTTACAAAAAACAAATAATATTACAACTCTAAAATGCCACGACAATCCGTGGACATAAAATGTGTGGTAAACTGACTGATTACAATTAATCTTTAGTTTATAATTTATATTTTCGTACTCACAGAAAAATAATTTATATTATTTCCCGCCTTTAAGAAAATAATTTTGATAATGATGGTTGAGAGTATGGACTTTTATTAACTAAGATGATTTTATGTTGTGACGAAATATTCAAATCCATGACCGATAACAGCATTTAAAATGACTGATTGTATTAATTTAATTGTGTATAACGTAACCTGTAGTTTTGCCAACTCACGAATAAATTAATGCATTACTACTCTAAGATACGGCGACAATCTGTGGACATAAAATGTGTGTGTGGTAACTGCCTGATTATAATTACGAAAAACAAAAACATTACAAGTACAACTTTAAAATAACTCCGTAATCTGTGGAAATATAATGTGTAGTAAAATGCTGGATTATAATTAATATTTGATTCATATTTTCGTACTCACAAAATAATAAGTTATACTTTTACCCGCTTTTGGCAAAGTGTTTTGATAATGATTGTTAAAAGTATGCCCTTATCTGTTGTGCAAAATATTTACCCTAAATCCATGACTGATAACAGCATTTGAAATTCTTTCCGTATTAATTTACTTTTGTTCAATGTAGCCTACCTCACGGTTGCGTCGTCTTGCGAAAAATAAAATGTTTACTTTAAAAGTAAGTATATTAAAGTATCTTTAAAATATCACGGCAATCTGTGGACAAAAAACTGATGGTAAACTGCTCTATTATAATTTATTTTGATTCACACTCTCGTACTTACGAAAATAAAAAGGACATACTACTATAAAATATCACGGTAATCGGCGGATATAAATTTTCTAGTACCCAGCTAGTAAGTAACGGTTACGGTATTTCATTGTGTATCGTATGCTAATTCCGCCATACATTAAGATAAGCTTGAATTTATTTTTGTAGTATTCGAAATTTCATATTCGAAAATAATAATTTCGAATGTATTCGAAGGGGTGAATTATTCGGTATTGGCCATCCCTGCGTCCACCAAATAAGAACATTACTGATATAATATAACACGGCAATCTATTGGCCATCCCTGCGTCCACCAAATAAGAACATTACTGATCTAATATAACACGGCAATCTGCCTGTGGACATAATAATGTGAGATGAACTGCCTGATTATATTTAGTTTTGATACATAGGGCTCAAATAAGACATCACGCTGACAAAAACAATTGACTATTTTCATAAACTGCAATATCTGTTCACTCATGAATCGTGATGCACACACAAATGCGGCAACTTCAAATATGATAATCACAGCGTTGAAAATCTAGATTTACAGCGCAAGAACGCCGATTCATTTGACCTGACCCGATGAGGGCGCTATGGGGGATGCTATCCCGAAGGTATTTTATGGTCCGAATTGAATAATAAGCTGATCCAGAAAAAATGAAAATCATCATACTCGCCTTTGGGTCCAGAAAAGCGACTTATTCGCCGGGAAATACAGTATTTGCCTTATTTATAACCGATATTTATAGGTTATTGTATCTTCCCAGTTATTTGGTTGTCCAGAATGATTGCTGCTACCTTTTCAAGCCAAATAGTAGCTTTGTTGTGCAGAATAGTTGATTTCGTGGTCATATGATTCCTCTGAAATAAACACGAACTGATGAAAATATGAGTAAAATAAAATCGAATAGAGGGCATGCGTTGTTGTTTTACTGATGAACAGAAAAACAAATTAATGCAATTTTTTCTGTCCAGACTTTTTGAGCAGTGATATGGAACCACCCCTATTCATTGCTGAAAATTGGAACCGTCTTATTCGCCAGGTAGACTTATTAGTCCTAAAATACAGAATATACTCAAATCATTTTGCACTAAATGTCATCTCATATGTTACAATCATATTCTAGGTAGTGTCTACTTCAAACTTGTCTGATGCAGTTGAACACTCGCTCCTAATACAATTGGATAGTAAAACAACCCTGGCTATCCTGACATTCCTTTGCTACTACATAAATATTTCACTGTGTGCAAAAAAATTCTCAAATTGTCAGATTTTTCATCACCTCCTTTATCTTGGAAAACGAATGGAGCATTGTGGATTGTTAGATTCAAGTAGGTTTCAGCAATGATATTTTTTTTTCAATTACCTATTGAATAATGTTGGATCATTCATTAAAAGTTATTTTTGCCACTCTGAAATTTAGAGCATCCATCTTTTAAAGTAGATGAAGGAAGCATGATGCATGAAACAAAATATTTTTATTTGAAGCATTGAACTTAATTATATCTATTTTGGATAAGAATATTTAGTACCAGGGAAAGTTATAGAAGTATGTAATATATTCCACATATGGAACATTGACTTAATAACAAATAATTAAATATTAACAGAATATTATTATGGATTCAGGCAATATTGATATTTCTCATTTTGATTTATATCTTAGGATATTTTTATTTTAACCAAATTATTTAATATTTCCAGCTTTGAGAGTGACTGAAGTATTTGACTATCCTCAAGAAAAATATGCGAAATCTGAACTATTTGGTATGACAAGTACAGAATTTCTTTTTATTTGGCCACACTTGTGAACAAGATCTCTCCCCTTGCCTAAACTTGCAAGCGGTTTCAAAATCTTGATCTGAATGATTTGCTCGAATCATCTGCCTTGGGTATTTTGATTAATGAACATTTGTAAGAAACTGGTATTTTACTGAACAGATTATTATTTCCTCTGTTGTGCATTATTATTAGTTGGTATAGTGTACCTCCTGGTCATTGAGATTTCGCTGATTCTATCGATTTTCAGTCTAACTTATCTGTGAAATTGCGCTTGCAATATTCACACCAGTGTTCACTCTAAGGAAAATATGAGTGCAAGGTGCGGGGTGCCTGACAAGTCAAAAGCATTCTACTTGTTAGTAAATTAGGGCTATAACTAGGGCTGTCGATTGATTCGCAAATTATTGAATTCGTTTTGTGACTAATTTGAATTATGATCGTGGTATGGTAATATAAAGCAGGGCTTCCCAAAATTTTGAGCTCTCGGCCACTTTTGATATATTAAAATTTACCGCGGCCCTTAGTCGATAGCACAATTTTTTTTGACCTAATCCCGTGGAACGCCTTCGTTTCAATTTTGCTAGGAGGTCGCAGAATTTCGTGATTCATGAACCTTTCAAACAACCCATATTTTCTACTTTTACAGAAAAAAGAGAAGATTATATCGATCTTACCTGTGATGGTGTTACAATAAAAAAGTTTATTTCTGAAAATTTGGTTTTCTGTAGATAAAGATTATTTTTCTTGGTTCAAAAAGCGTTGCGGACTCCTATCCCCTTTGCGATTTCGTTTTTATATAAAGCAGACTTTTCTACCAAGGCCCATTAAGTATGATTTCACTGACTGTCGTTATGTTTTGTTTGTTTCTTCATATGAACTCATTGCAAAAAAGTCTTTTATTGAAAGGTATCAATACGTATTTTCACGGGTAGTCGTAACTTGAGCATATTTTTGGAGGGCGTCACAATACAATGAAGTTCGAAAACCACTGAGTCCTAGTCGATAGCAAGAAATTTCTACTCTTTCTACTTTTTTAATGGTTAATAATCTATATGTAGCAGTTATTTTAAATGAAGACCTGCTATTTATAAGTAATGGAAATCGGTATTCATATTTGGCATAATAAAAAATCTCGTTATTCTCTACATCCCCCAAAATAAGCCCTAGTGTTATTTTCGAAATAAAATTGAAGACACTGTCTTATTTACACAGTATGATGATGTGTTCTTTGGAATCGTGAAATTTTTGTTTCACAATATTTTTAATAAATGTATTTTGAATCAAGAGTCTGGAAGAGTACAATAGATAAAGTACTTTGTGTAAAATTGGTGCTCTCTTTGCAGCCCCTAAAATTCGTTTCGCAGCCCCTTCCAGGGCCGCAGCCCCTAGTTTGGGAAGCCCTGATATAAAGCACACAATGGAAAAACTTATTTGGTCACTCATTATCAGTCAAGGGATTCATCCATAAATGACTATCGCCATTACATAATTAGTTTCCTGATAATCCTGATTGTGTTTCAGTGCAGTGATATGCTCGCAAAGAATCTCATACCATTGCATATCAGACACAAAAAGAAATAGTTGCATCTTGAATGTTATTTTTGCAAGCCAGTGTGCCCTGGTCTGAGTATGAGTTATCATGAGTTGAGTACATAACATATATTGGCAGAATTTCTGTGAATGCCATAAACTTTAACATTCATGGTTGGAAAAATGGATGTTTAAAGGCAACAATAATCGGCTGACTGTTCAGTTAGGGCAGTGGTTACCAAACCTTTTTTTTTTCGAGACCCAAATTTACATAAATTCAAAGCCTGTAGATAAATACCCAACAGTGTCTTTTTTATTTTTAGTTCAATGTTAACTTATTACAGATTGCTCCATTATTAATTCTGAAGTAAAACATAGCATGAAAGTAAAATAGGAAAAAATGGGTACGCATGTTGAACAGAAATTAGGCGGCCCCGGAAAATCTTCATGCGACCCCACCCAGGGTCACTACCCAAAGTTTGGGAACCACCAGTTAGGGCATGGTTTTGTTTTAATAGTGTATGGAATAGTTATGAGTGAAACAATTTCCAGTGTTTCAGTCAGATATTTGCATTAGCAAATCGTGCTCCATTCAGAAGTCCACTCTGTTGAAAGAAATGCAAATTTTTTTTCTAAAAACTTAAAAAAGGTGATTTCATTTCTAAGAAAACTGAGAGTGCCTCGCAGTTATCGCAAAAAGTGCGCTGATAGTGAACATTGATCAACATTAGGGCTAGACAAAATAATAGAATGACGAATTAAATGGCATTTTATTATTCGAATATTCAGTACCACATGAACAATGACGCTGCTCTTGGGACACTGAAATCGCATGTCCCTAAATCGATGGCTTAAACTTCACCAGAATTTATCCATGGCTTTTGCTAACGAACAGAAACGACAAATTACATAAATCCAGGTCTTTGCGTTGTGGCATTTTCTGCGTTCTTTTATCTCCTATGTTCTATTGTATTGTTTCAATTCCATATTTTGCAAAAAAACGCACCGATACCGTTTGCAAAACCCGGTGACATGTTATTAGCCATTTAATGCATGATCCGATATTAATTTCCAGAGGACCAAACACGACAAAAAGGCAGTTTTCCCCAAAACTCAGAGAATAAAATAGAATATTAGTCTCGACTTGCAATTTTTTCCTAAATCCCCCCCCTTTAGAGAAATATATTTCTCTGATGTGATAAATATTCTTCTGATTCTCTGATATGGAAATGATAAATATATTCAGAACATTAATTCTTTTAATATTCATAGACATGGAGACATCTATGGACCTTTATAGAGATAGTTGCAATCGAATAAAAGACTGTGAAAAAGGGTATGTCGAGGAATTTACTGCTGACAAGTTTCTGATAAGGGAAATTTTTGTTGATACAAAGAAAGACTTATTGACTGTAAAGTAAGTATTGCGATATTTAGACGCTGCAGGTCACCTATTTTTCAAAAATAATTTGTTTGAAATTGAAACGACTCCACTCAGCGATGAAGCATGGGTGCAAATGCAATTTTTCGACAGTGGGACACAAAGCCATGACAAAAACATTTCAAATTTTAAAATTAAACTATGAACTTTTAATTAGCAGATTAACTTGAAATTCTTAAATTAATATTAGAAATTGAATATTGAAAATAAAATTAGGGGCCTACAATGATGGTTTTTATATTTTCATGAAATATTAGAAAATAATAAGTGTGCTAAAATTATTTCTGGTAAAATATATTAATATAATGTTTAAAAATGTGGAAACCTGAAAGCATCTATTTTTTATTTCTGAGGTTACAACTTACAACTATTATTTACCGGTAGCTCTGATTACCAATGCTGTGTGTTTGTAATCTGTGAAAACAAATTATCATCATATTGAGCAGCAGATTTGTTTTATATTAGCTGAAAAGTTTTGTCAAAATGATCTCAATGCAAAGGTTGTATATCTTGCCGGCATATTTTACTCTCTGGAAAATCAAAATCATCTCTGAGAAGCCCTGGTTTCAGTGTTCACTCTAAGGAAATTATGGATGCGATATTAAAAAAAAAGGGTGTGAAGGCGTCCTGCCCAATTTTAACAAGTTAAGTGTCCTGGCCGAATCCTTTTGTTAGAAAGTCTCCTTTCATCATATGTGGGTATATTATGCATGCCTAATTTCAAATTAGTCGGCGCTAGCCATATTGCGTTGTTCGATTTTCATTGTATCATAAATTAGCCAAGTATCGGATATTGGCAAAGAGGAAACGAGCGTTATAGCACTTTCTGGAATGCTGCAGACCCATTATAAAAAAGTATTTGCGTCCCAGTCCCCCTTGGGGCTTTTCCATATATTACATCAATAGGAGCGATGACACAAATGATTTTTTTTCTGCAAATGTACACGAAATGCAACGAATAATACTAAAAAAAACTCAATATAAAAAAATAACGAAAGATATGCTAACGGTTCCCAACTATTTTAGAGTGTGTCACCCCCCCGAACAATAAAATCCTGGAAATTAATTTTTAAAGAAAAGTACAAGTATCAGATATCAGACATCCAATTGCGATATAATTGTTTATGCACGGTAGCAATCTCACATTTAGCATCGGTTAGATGTGCATGAAATGTAAAACTCTTATTTTTATTTGTATTTCAATGTTAATAAAGTTTAATTTCTTTTTCCGTCCCTCCATACACATAACTGCTTTCCGGCGTTGTGGTTCATATTGTGTTATGAGTGTTTTTAAGAGAGGATAGAATTGGATCACAGGTGACAATTTACATGTTTCTTTTGCTGATCCGGCAATTGCGTTATTATTGAACATTTTGGTCGAACAAAAAATAAATATAATTCTGTGATATATTTTTAGGCAATTTTCTTCCTATTTTTTCACAATTAGCAAAAAACCATGAATATTGAATAATTTTGTTTAATAATCGATGCTGAATCATGTGCTATTGCTAGTCATTTAGCAGAGACGATGCAAAAGGAACGTATTTCAAATACCGGTAGAAGGGTATCCCTTTTCTATATGAAAAGTGGAGTATGTGTCTAACTAATAGAAATAACTTATCCCAAACACGATCAAAAGTCTGTCGGTAATAAATTGCGTTAAGATGATAATATTATACAGAACAGAGAGAACCTGACAAACTTTCGCACTAACAAATCGTACACTTTGGTCACATGACCACTCTCGTCTATAGAAACTCGCGGCGTCGCGTTCCAACTTTTGGGCTGATGTTGTTAGCGAATCGGAGTGCTTTTATAGAATATAATACTATAAACAGGGATTTTGCCGTTATTGCAAAATTTCAGATAGCTTTATCTGCCATGTCTGCACCACATAGCTTATGCAAATATCGTTATCTAATGCAAAGTTGAGTTACAAAATCACTCGCACACGTTTTCTTTGTCAATATTAAATTCAAACGCAAATTATTTGCCAACTTCAAACTTTATCACCCAAAAAACACAAAAGGGGCGATTTCGCTGTCTCTAAAAATAGCTGCAAAGGTGCTTTGCACTTTTCAAAAAAAAAATGTGCTAATATTGAACACTGCCTGATCTCACAGTCATTGATTACAATGTAAAAGTTATAGCTTACGGAAAAGCTAATCCTGTGGCAAAGTATATGACCCGAGGTGAATATGACATTGTACCTGAACTGAAGTACTATATTGCACATTGTTTCTAAACTAAAGAACTGTATTGCCGAAAAAGAATTTCGTATAAAAAATCATAATTGTGCACCTGGAACAGATTGTCAAAAAGTTTGTAGACTTTTTTGGTGAAAGACCTCAAAAAAAAAATTAATGGATATTTGATGCATTTGCGGGAATAATAAAATCCACACAATATAAAATATATAGAAACAAGCATAGAAAACTGCTTTTGTTGGCTTATGAAAATTACTATATGGATTGTTTTAGATTATGCAAAAGAATGTATTCAAAACTTAGAAACAAGTTCAACAAATAGTTGATAGAAAATTTAAGCCTAATAAAATGCCAACAAGTTTAAACTTTGATAGCTCTTAAATAGTGACTAAACTGACCATAGTATGATTTGTGATGCCATGAACAAGCACTTTGCTGATGTAGGTAAAAAATGTAATGAGTTATACAGTCATTTACATTTAAACATAAAGTCAAAGCAGAAATCTTAATTTTGCCCTGGAATCGGTAATGTGTGATTGATCTAGTAATTGTTGTAATTAATTAGGCAACCATCTATAAGCAGCTGATGATGACTTTTACTTCTCTTCCTTTTACCTAAGTGTTATGATGTTGTGAAAAATGATTGCTTGTGCCAGAGTGTGTTATCCTGATAGGAATTTGCTGTAGGGCTCGGTCGACCTTGCAATCTTCCCTGCCCCCTTTCGTTTATATTTTATAATCATTTAGTTTTTTTTTTATCACTGCAATGTGTACATTAATGATATTCGGAATCAAACCTATCTATCTTAGGATTCGTCAAATATCTACTTTTGAGCTTCTACGTGCAAAGTATTTCAAACTTTGTCTGATTCTAGCTTGGACAAAATGCCATGACTCCAGCTCCAGCTTGCTTCACCCCCAAGTTCATGCAACTGAACAAATGAAATATTCTCATACTTGACATCGTCATCTGTCTTTCTGGGATAAAATCAATATCTGAATCCTAAAATTTAATATGCTGTCATATGATAACGTCAATATTGTATATGATACTCAATGCAATATATATTCTTCTTTATTTTTGTTTTTATTCATCTTTATTCGAAGTGAAAAACAACAACTGTATTCCTACATATTTATTGAAAATAATTTAACAACAAATTCAGTAAGTGCTGTGATTGGTGTTATTCTTGACCAGTTGGTTTTTGATAGAAGTTGGAAAGCTATTAGTAATCAAGAGGTACGTAACATTGTTTTTGTTCATTCATGTGTTTAATTGAAAATATTCGGGCTTTTGAATGTGACAGCTTTGAAAGCTTTTCATTGATATTCATTGTACATAAGTAACATCATTTTTTTCATGTGTTCAATTGATAGGGTTTCTAATTTCCTGGGCTTTTGATTGCAATAGCTTGAAAGCTTTTTAGTAATATTCATGTACTACAGGTTGAAGTTTGATTTGTATGACAAAAATTTATCATATTGATCAATTCTGCTCAATTCCTATATTACGTTTACCTTCCATAATTGTAGTTTAGAAATATACCATATTTCTCTGTGTATAATACGCACCCAGATTTTAGTACATTTCTAACGAGAATTTTTCAGACTCCATGCATAATACGCATATCAAAATTTCGTCCTCTTGCCTTGTAGGTGTTTTTGCTGGACGTTTCAGACATTCTGTCTGCTTGCCTTTTTGTTAAGTATATATATCTGGTAATATGTTTTATGTATTTGCCTGTGAAACATCTGCTATCTATTTGTCCCCCTCCCTTTAAAAGCTGACAAGGCCCCATAACAGAATGTGTTTTCAGACCCTGCACTTCAAAGAGAAGCCGTAGGTCACTCATGTGGTGATTTATTAGGGTAAAGTTTTGCCGATTCGGCCAAACGAGAGAAACAGACCACAATGACAGCAGTTAACGGATGTGTTTTTATCACTTTATTTCACCATTTTTTCTGCGCCTTTATCAACACTAAATTGTTGTTGAACTGGGTATGCTTCTACCGAATCAAGCATGATCTGATTCTAACAGACTTTGCCACATAAAATTCAGAACTTAAGATTCATAAATGTGACAATTATTAGCCAGTTGAAGCGAAAAATAAGGATTATTATTTTTTTATATTTTGGTATAATACGCACCCCCATATATGTAAAACTAAATTGGACCATGGAAGTGCGTGTTATACGCAGAGAAATACGATATATTATCTTGTTCTTCAGGTTCTGGAATATGTGGTTAAATGCCTTCCACTTTTATTAGAGGCTTGTGAGCCACCAATACTGAATGCAAAACTATTCTATGACATCATTAGAATGAGGATGAAGCAAGTTAGCGAGGGTTTGTATTTCACTTTTATTGAGATCCAAACACCAGTCCAATGTTGGGTATGGTATCAGTTAGCCCAGGAGTGGGCAATTACTTTCACGAGTGGGCCGGTTCCAGACAATTGACTTGCTTTCTGGACCGGAAGCTCAATATGAAACTATGAATAAAAACAATTTATTCACAAAAAAAACGCATGCGTCCAAAAGCTTGTTTAAATCAGACCAGAAGCTGCTTGTGCTGTTCCTTGCTTAAACCGTTCGTAGGTTCGCATACGGCAGGGATCTGTTTTTTATTCATACTTCGGAACATTAATTCGGATAGGTGTATTTGGGGTATATCTGGTTCGTTTTGCACATTATATTGCAAATAATGCGTGATGATTTACGACAGCGGTCCCCAAACTTTTTGTTCGTGAGGCGCCAAATTATCAGGAAAAATCTCATGCACACTCGCACGAAAAAAATGCTGCTTTCGAATAAAACTCAATTTTATTATCGTTAATGTGTACTTTAAGCCTTTGAATGAATGAGGGCAAAAGGTCAATTTTTCTTTCTCGTTTCTGCCTGGTTTTCCTTTGAAATGCAAATAAAAATCACTTATGTTTGTTAAACTCGGCTCAGCAGATAAATAAACTACTGCTCGCAAAATTGCAGCAGGTAGTGTCTATCTCTATTGTTACATAACAATAGAGGCATACACTACATAACAGAAAATAAATGGCATAGAAAGGTAAAATGAATTTATCGTTTCAAATACAAAGCATTTAAAACAAGAAACAATAAAACTTTTATAATAAAAACAGTATGTAAGATATTCAATCGTATTTTAGTTTTAACACAATTATGTTAATTTTTGTGGCACACTCAGCAACTTTACTCTCTTTCGCCGTTTGGGAACCGCTGAATTACTGAATTATTACCTGAATTATTGAACCGCTGAATATCGTTATTTTCATTGAAATTTTCAACTGAAATTTATATCTATAGAAACTATAGTCGTAATTCCAGCAGGTACAAGTGGGCCGGATGAAACACTTCGGTGGGCCGTATCTGGCCCGCGGGCCCTAATTTGCCCACCCCTGAGTTAGCCTGTTCTTTGTTTCAGATGCATGAACTTGCTAACTTGCTACGGCGACAAGGAGTTCAGCAATCCTTTTGCACATATTTATGCCCACTAGATTCAAATCAGAGATGCGACGGTGGGCGTATTTCTAACGCTTAACGTGATGAGGCACACTGACGAGCTATTTCTTTCCATGAAACAATTATTTCATTAATTTTCCCCATGCCTGATCTGGAATAGTAATTGGACTGAATGAAGGCTGATATATAATTAGATAATACATATAGCAATGCTTGCAGAGCTTTTTCTGCTAAGCTGGTTGTCAATCAATCGTAGAGAACATACTGCATCAAACTTACCGATATCTAACTCTTTTAAGGTTTTTATTTTGGCAACTTGTATCATAGTATTTGAATGTATTTAGAAATTTTGTTTCAGGTGCATATGAAATCGGTTGGGACATACAATGGAAAAATGAAGCATATGCAATTTGCATGTTTATATTGAATTTACCACCATCACTTTTATTCAAAACTTATTCAACAACCTGTACTGGATCAGAATATATTTGGAACATTGGCAATAATTTGCATATTAAAGGAAATATGGTACGTTATTTTTATCGGAACATCTGATATACTTTGATTCCAACACATGCTGAATTAATTGAAAACTTATCTTTTTGTTCTATTTGCTTTTCATTTGCTTGTTATAGTCATTGTTATGAATTTAAAATGGTAACAAATACTTATCATTGAAAATCAGCAATAAATATATTATTTCCTAATTTTTCTATTTTTACCAACTAAAAAATATATAATACTTTTTTATATATTACAAAATAAATGATTACCTTCATGCAAAAACAGATAGCATCAACATATAATATACTACTAGAATAAATATAATTATTAAATTTATATATTCACTGGAATGACATTCCAATATAATTAAATACTCTTATGCACACAAGTATATATATATATATATATATCAAGTTTCACACATTGCAGGAGAATCAAGTGTTTTCTGGTCATGTAATAAACGATTATTTTCTGCAATTGAATGAAGATCCATCAATGCGTTTTACTTTATCCCAGAATGTTTTGAGTCATCTTCTATCAGGAATTATTGAGGTAAAATAAAATTTGGTTTGATATTGAATAGGTTACATATGTGTTTCCAGGAATAGAAGTAATAGTTATCATTTGGTGATAAAAAAAATTGACTTTTTTATAAGCAAGAAATTAGCATAAAAGGTATAGGCCTATAGATTTGCCAGGTTGGTGAAATAAATATGATGTTGCATGTTGCTCAGAAAGATTGTTACAAGGTATGTTTTGTGAGGTTATCATTATTTTGCTCAGCAAAAGGCCTCTATCAAATTCAAATTTTTACTATGTGCGTTGACTTGTTTGACTTTTGGCCAGCGACTAGCTATATGTTGCCGCCCATGACGTGTTCTATAGTATCAGTGAATGGTTAATGTAACCACTAGTGAGTAATGCCTATCTGCAATCACGCCCATGTCTAAGTAAAATGTCCCAATATTCGCTATGAACTTGATACGAAACCTACTTATGCTTGAAAGTGAATTTGCTTTTATTGTTTCTACTTTTCAAGACAATAAACTCATACGAGGAGTTTCTGAAATTTTGTGTCATGATATGTCCCTGCATTTTCATATCAATAGTTGTACACTGGAATAAAGATCACAAGTTACGGCTTATGTTGAAATTAAGGTTGGTTTTTGAAGTATTTAGAATAATATACATTATCTGTATAACTTTTTTACAAATCTATATTCGTCTTATTTTGTGTTGTTACGTAACCACTGGTCATTAGAGCAATGCATACCATATGCAAATACAGGTAGGCTATAGTTGTCCAGCCTCATGCCCGTGCCTGAAACATTGCTTAGCTGAACATATCATACATGGCAAAAAATAAAGCTGCGGTTCGTTATACATCCGTCTGTCGTGCCATTTTTATCTCTTAAAATCTGTACTAATGTTTTTGTGTACAAGTTTTTGAATATGGATTTTCCTACCTTTTATTTACTATTCTATTTTCCATTCAGGATACCACAATTACATTCTGACATTGACCTTATTTCCAAAACTTTACTGGAAGGTAAATCAATTATTTGTACATTAAATGTACTTCAGTGTATGTTTAATACATCAGCAAAAATGTTTCATCTGAAAAGCTCGAACACAAGTGAAATGATGATAACAGGAATTAACTTATGTCTTGCATGCTTTATATCAGACATGAAGATTGACTTAAAACATCCTGATTTGAAGAACTTCCTGAAAGAAATGAATGAGAGGGTATTTCCCAATTCATATAAAATCTTTTTATTAAAATCTGTTATAAAATTGAAGTTGCTTATTTATAAATTTATTTTAATCATGTCTAAATACGCTCATGTTAACTCCGGATATTCCAAATTTAGATAATTAGAATAAACAAACATCACATTGTTCAAATGCTTGAACATATAATGAATAGTTGCAATCGGCGAACTTACGAATGGTGGTGAAAATTTCAATGTTAAATATTGCATTAAAAAGGATTAACATCAAGCTTGTGGCCTTTACTCCATTTTCAGAGACACCACTAAAATGTTTGAATTCTCTCTCATTACAAGAAGAAATTGAGTATAGTTTTCATATTATAATTTATTCACTGTTACTCTAACTCTAAGCAATTGGTCATGTGTTGGCCAAAAACTGCCGAAGGATTGGTTAACCGAAGATAGCATAACTGGACTAGAGAATATCAAAGACAAGATTTGTTAATAGTCACATCAAAAGTTATTATTCATGCTTCTAATTTAGTGAGTGTTCCCAATTTATGTGGGGAAAATGGGATAAGTGGCAATGTTGACCAGACAATCTCCCTTTTTTCAAGACTGCTGGGTACATTACTACATGCAACATTATAAAACTGGGACAAAGTTTGTTGATGAAAAAAGAAAATGAGTTGAATTTCAAAACAATCCTGCAGCAATGTTTTGATAGAATGACTGCTGAATATGTTTGCAATGTTGTGCTAAATGGAAAAATTATTGCAATAACACCTGTTCTAAAACAAGCTTGTCATGGACTGAAGAACTTTAGTGTACTTGCTTTAAAGTAAGTAGACAAAATATATTTCGAATACTGATTCGATCGAATATGTACGGTAGTTTTGATTTGAGTCTTGGGTTTGAAAAATGTTTCAAGTGTCTCAATGTGTTATTGTTTTACTAAACCAAGTAATTTTTACTTTCAGATGTTTGACTCAAATTGAATTGCCTCTACACATATTAACATCAGATTTATTTTTACCTTCATTGGCATCTTTGTATACAGAAACATATGACTACTTTGAGAAAAATAAAGCTGTAGATGTAAGTATAATAGCATCTATGCATAAGTTGGGGTTTCTTGGTCTATGTAGCTAGTAGCAGTATAGTAGTTTGAAAGGGAGCTGTAAGCTGTTACTAAATTGTTTTTTAATTTGAACGTTTTTTTATTAGTTTGCAGATATTTTTAATGATATCGAAATCTTAGAACATTTGGCAGCGAAGAATGCCCCAAGTTCCACCATCATTGATCTTTTGAAGGTATTGTTTTGGTGAATTCTATATGTATTAAGGGAATATATGGGATGTTGGGTGACTCAAACAGCAGAACCCATGAGATTTTTAGTTGAGTCATGAAAATGGAGTAAATTGTTTGATCTTTTTACACTTACACCTAACACTGTTTGTGTACGGTTGTACCCAAAACTTTCGTAAATCTAGTACTAAATACATATATCTAGTCCTAATCTTTTTGCATAAAAGTTCTGTTCTCTCTATAGTATAAAAGTGTTCCAAATAGCCTCTTATGCATTGGAGACAGGCTTGCATCTATTGCGCAGAATTGTCAATCAGTCGCAGGCACCCCCTGTGGGAATTTGCCTGATTTTTGTTGTACTTGCAGCCTTGAGTTTAGCAGTTGTTCTGATACAATTTGCTCGTCGAAAACCCCTGTTGATCGCCCAAGTCCGATGAAATAGGTTTCCACTCGACGTCAATGTTGACTGCTGATCAGCCTTTTCTGAAATTACTCTTTCAGCCAGTCATCTGGCTGAAACCACTAGTCATTTTGCGCAGCTAAATGCAGGTCTGACAAGTTTCATACCTATGAATTAAAAAAAAACGACTGCTTTTGGTAATTATTTGCTACATTGAATGAAATCTGAACAAACAAACCTGGTTTAATCTACAAATATATTTTGGGTGAGATGGGGGGGTTCTGGTAATCTGAACAAAAACTCATCCTATTTATCCTAATAGCAATCTAATCTCATCCTTAACAACATCGATTTGCTTTTCTGTTCTGAATTGTCCAAAGCAAAGTCACAATCATATTATTATTTGACGGAGTAACCTACTTTCTTTCACTAGGACACTAAAAAACCTTGCTAGTATTGACAAAAAGTTGTTAAGAATCTGGTCAAATCTTGAAAGTTTAAACTAACCTTACTTTCAGATTACATTTATTTTCAGACTTGTTCATCTAAAATGTCATCGTTTACATGTTCACTGCGTTCAGAGGCTGTTAGGAGAATGTTGCGGATTTGAGCAAACACTTCCAGGCACCTGATTTTTAGTTGAAGTACATGGTTCTTGTGTGGATGGATTGGATAATTTTTGGCTTTTTTTATTACAATTACTCCTTGTAATAATCTAATATATATACTGTATTTATGTTTTGCACAAACATACAGGAAAAATTCGCCAAATTTTTTTGATTACATCTTGGACACAGTAAAAAAAATGTTTGATTTCTGTTGATAATTTGATCCAGTTCATTGATCAGCCTACCGAATGCATGGCTTGTTTCACCTATTGGTCAAAAATTCTGTTTGGCCACACTGATGCGTGCTTATGACTGAACACGACCAAATAAACTTAACCTATTCTTGCATTCCTACCCGACCAGAAACAAAAATCCCAGCAATGATCGGGATCTATTTCAAGATAATATGACAATTTTCAACTTGTCAAAAATGTTTTTCCAACACAAAACGAAATCGTGCCTTGGAAACACTCTGTGGGCTTCCAATGAACGCTACAACCAAAACAGTGTTTTCACTTTATTGCACATGAATTGTTTGATCATAACAAGATTTGGATTTTACCTACCTTTTTATTTACATTATAAGTAGGGGAGACCGGGGATAGTTGGAACATCTGGCTACTTATTCGTAATTATTTCTGCAGTCATGTACCATATTACAAAGTCTTTGGCGTCCCACGTACCTATGTTCTTGCCCTACCTAACAGTAACCTTTAGTTCCCCACAACGCATTTCGTCTGCAAGAAATTGGACCTCGAATGTGCGCGTGTAATTCGTTCCAACATGCCCCGGGGACGGGGTAGCTTGGACCAGTCATGGGGCAAGTTGAGAAGTGAAAGAAAAATGATGAACAAGTTAACGAACTCAAAGAAATTTTTCAAATTCAACCACGGTACTTCACAGAGGATCATATGGGGACAGATCCACAGCAAAAGTTAGCTTTTCTGCACATCTCGCAGTGCCACCTATACGCACAGGCGCAGGAAGCTTCATTGCTATGTCATCCTATCGGTGCAAAGCGACGTCTTCTTCACGCGGATACGAAAATGCCATGGCATCGGTTCTTCTCATATCCACTCGTCTCAAAAATCTTGTTTTCATCTCTACGATTTCTGCGTCGCTGCCAACTATAAATAAATTGGGTCGTATTTTTGCGATCTTGGGATTTGTCAAACTTGATTTGTTCTTTCGCACTCGAGATTATTTTTGGGCAAAATATCGCCGTTTAGAAAATCGTGGCAAGGTGTCGGCAAAATACGAACGATTAAAATTAATTTATTGCATGCGGCTCCGTGGGTAGTTTTAGAATGAAAAAAAGGTACATCGCGCGCACAATTGACTGTGTTTCGATTTCACAGTTACTACGATGAATAACCAAAGAAAACCTAACATAACACCAAATTTTGTGATTTCCAATGCCTATAAAAGCGTTTTTAATCTGACGTGAGACTGCCGAAACCAAACTTATAGTGTGATCTTCCATTTTAAGTTTTAATATTTCAGGATGTCGTTTTTCAATCAAGAAATTTGAGTTGCGGATTTACCTCTTTATTAATTATTATTTTTAGCATTTCGTCGCCACTGACTATAATATGGTAACATGTTTTCGCATTGAACTCATAATTCCCCACGAGAACAAAAAAGCAATTATCGTCGTCATTGTGATGTTTGTCAAGTGTCAAATTTACAGCTTTAGTATACATAATTCATCTTTGGAATTTAGATTTTTTTATTACTTGTATTAACCTTATTAAAAAAGGTTATTGAGTACTTTTACCTTTACTTAGGAATATTAATGGGAAAGTAACAATTTTAACATTTCTTTTCGGGCTCCGTGAATAATAGTTAACCTTTTCAAGGGCTCCGCAACACCAAAAGTATGAGAACCCCTGGTCTATGGTACCTTACATTCATGAGCGAACATTTGAAAAAATTACCTTCCTGGTTTGGCCAAAATTTCCATCCGATTTTGAATGATATTGCTCTACAAAACTAGCTCTACCTCCATGCCCCATAGCAGGTGAAATGGCGATGTGGGTCGCGATTTGAGCCAAGAGATCACGTGATTTGGGTGCGTCATCTCGCATAAAATTCGGCCGTTTCAACTAGCCCCTTATACCAACTGACCCCGGTCTCCCCCACTTTTGTTAGGGTTGCCAACTATGAAAAGTTTGAATAAAGGACATAGATTACCGTCATCATTTATTTTGTAACTTGCAGGAAAAAACAATGAAATAAAGATTATATACAAGCTAAAAATTTCTTTGGCTATTTGAGCCGGACCAAAGCGAAATTAGGAATAATTGAAAGCTTGCAAAAACGGAGGCGATTTTTTAAGAACGGAACAATATCAAACACAGTACTATAACTAGCGGGCAAAACGACGTTGAAAAGAATAAAGGACAATTAGCATCTTTTACTAAATGCTAAAAAGGACAAGGACCGAAAAGCTGAATTAAAGGATTGTCCTGAAATAAAGGACGGTTGGCAACCCTAACTTTTGTGTTCGCACTTCAATCATTTATTTCGGTACTCTAACAAAAAAACAAAACAGCACAAAAAGTAGACGAACAAACAAAATCCAGAGATACTTGGAAGGCGAGCATAACTTAAAATGAAGTTAAAAAACGTAAAAGTACGCGCCCGCCAACCAAAAAAAATAATAATACAAGAATACAAAAAACACGATTCAGAATCGGGCAATGTTTTAAGGAATCTGTCGACAACGTACACAAAATATAACAAAAACTAGGTAGATAAAATAAATGTAATAGACTTCTGACGACTTTCTCCGTCCACTTATAGTAATCACCAGAATTTACCTCTCTTATCATATATAGAGGACTTGCACGGGTCACGTGACTTTGTTTACTGGACGGCAATAAAACAAAAACGTCCATTTGGCTCCTGTCAGTTGCAAGTCGGATTATACGTCTCCGTTTTGTTTGGCTGTTGAAAATGGTTATTTCGTATTGTTCCGCTGGCTGTACGTATAGTATAGACAACGAAATGGATCTTCAGTTATATTCCACTGATTTCGAAAGATTCGAAACGTCGCGCAATGTGGATATCATCTATTGGCAGGACTGCTTGGTGTCAAGTCCAGAAGCCATCTCACTTGTGTTTCACTGTTTGCGAACAGCACTTCGTTGATGGTAAGTGATAATGTGCCGTTATCAATTTCTTTAAATATTCACAAGCTCTCTCATTTCAATAGAAAGCAGATGGCAAACTACTGTTATTAGTAGGCCTACTTGCAGTTGCAGACTTGACTTGTGTAAGGCAGTAAGGAATTAATCATCAATTGCAATAAGGTATTGTTTCCCTAATTAGCAGGTAATCTAAGATAGGCAAAGATTAACACCAGTGGTCATGCAAAAAATAACCAGAATTCGCCATCTGGGAATACGCTCGCTACCTCATCTCTGGTCACCCTGGTAGCTTCACAGGTTCCAATCCCATGCGTGGATAGTTATGGGCGAGAGGATTGCAGCTCTACTCTTACCGAGGGTGGTTCACACGACCGCTGATCGGTTACGACCATCCCCCACCATCCAAGTTCATGCTTCTGAAAACAAATAACTGGCTCCCTCGCACCACTTGATCATTAGATTTTATGAAAATTCTTCAATTATTACAAAGCTAGTGCAGGATCATGATATCGAATGAATCTGTATCCATTATCTTACAGATATGGGTGCGACCATGGAATAGATGGATGGCAAAGTATAAGTTGCAACAAGACCACAGTGGCACAAGACCTCAGCTTGCGTGACTTAATAATACATCCTCAGTAGCCTATCCATTTATTGATGCTTATCGTAATGACAAAATAACTTGTGATTACTGTGGATTGGTGGAGATAAAGTGTCCATTGTGCTCGAACGAAAGCAACTTCAATACGACCCTATCAAGAAAAAAAAATTGTTTCGGTGGGTCTGGTAGTGAAGGTTTCAGTCTAAAGTTGGACACCGATACTACAACCAAATACAGTTGCCAATAAAACTTAGCGAGACGTAATATTGCGACTTTGTGATCTGAAAGAAAATTCTGATGGGTAGCCGGCTAGCCGCAACCTTTTGTGTAAAGAATATTATGAGATATGACTTAAGAGTCTAAACTTTTATTCGAGAGGGGTGTGTGTAACCCAAGCTAATTTGCAAATGGTATTTATTCATGGTACCAAATGTATCACACACTTTACAGTATTTATAAATTATATTTGAAAAATAAAGCACATCAAAAATGTATTTTCAAAAAACAATTGGTTTTATCTGCAGATACCAGGTTTATATTGAGATTGACCATTTCAATGCTAAATTTTCCTTAGTCAAAAGGCACACTTGATTCGCAAAGATTTGTGAATGCGCACAGTACACCAATTTGTCTAATGTTTTGATTCCATAGGCAGGAGGTTGTGGATCGGTGCTGCTCAGGATGGGATATTTTTGCTTATAAATGGATAATACGTGTTTCACATGAATCCATCGTGCTCAAATTCGACTGTTTCCAAGGTCTGAAGGCTCCAACTGCTTATTAACTTTATCGGTACACAAGAGAATTTTCAGTGTGGCATGCATGGGTCAGTTGGAGTCACTAACAACAAGATATCTATAAGCAAGGATAAGATAACCTGGAAATAACATGCCATAATTTAGAGTAAAAAATGTAGCTGCCTCCACAGCCCTTTCAAATGGAAGATATGATGCCTCAGGGGTAATTTCTATCAAATATTTTCCAGTATTATGGTTCTAGTAAAAAAGGGTATAGGTAGCTTCTTTTAAAGTGTGGTAGGTCTAGTCGAAAAACACATTAAATGTTTATGCTAACAACTGCAAAGTAATATTGCAACGCATACAAGTTAACAGAATTTGTTGAAATAGTCCTGCCTTTTGCCTTTCTTCATAATCCCCCTTTTTCTAACTATGCTCTTCCTCTCTGGGGATGGCGAAAATTCAAATATTGATGGGACATAAGCAGCTGATAATAGGTTATCTTTCCTTTTTTCCTGAAAAGAAATTAAACACTAACCATCATTTGACAGTGCCAAGTTTGTGTATCAGATCAGTAATAGATTACATGCTCACTAACGAAACGATCAGACGACACCTTCTATGAAGATTTCTTCAATTTGAAACGCAAATATGCCAGTTAGCCAGTTATTTGTTTTCAAAAGCATGGACTTGATGGTGGGGGATGTCGTAATCGACCAGCGGTCGTGTGAACCACCCTCAGTGGGAGGAGAGCTGCAATCCGCTCGCACATAACTATCCCCGCATGGGATTAGAACCTGTGAAACTACCAGGGGGATCAGAGATGGTAGGTCTAGTCGAAAAACACATTAAATGTTTATGCTAACAACTGCAAAGTAATATTGCAACGCATACAAGTTAACAGAATTTGTTGAAATAGTCCTGCCTTTTGCCTCTCTTCATAATCCCCCTTTTTCCAACTATGCTCTTCCTCTCTGGGGATGGCGAAAATTCAAATATTGATGGGACATAAGCAGCTGATAATAGGTTATCTTTCCTTTTTCCTGAAAAGAAATTAAACACTAATCA